CACGTTTAAACTTGTCCCCTTTAGATAGAGCTGAGACATGAACCTACAACCACAAGTTTAACTGTAAGATCAAGTGGCAATGGACCAGGACTCAAGTATTCTATGTGATCCGAACTTAGAACAAATCCCACCTTGTGAAATGTACGTAACCTACCTTGTTATATATGTGAACCTACCTTACAACAAATCCAATCTTGAAATGATGCATGAAGTAAATTAACCCAAAAACAAAACCAGCTGTTGTTCCCTGTGTTACATCCAGTATATTTTGGCCCACAATTTTAAACAATTTTTCAAGTCGTCCACATGTCGAAAGTTGTCAAGTTCTCTGGGAAGGCCTGCATCCAGCAAACAATGGACTGTGAGGGTCGGGGAACGTGAGGGGGGGGGGGGGGGGTCGGTGCTGTTGTTGGAAGGAATTAGTGTGCACCATGAAAAATGACAAGTTTAGGTAAAACTTGGCGCCATGATAGGGTCAAGTCAGTTGTCCAGTCAACAAACACTGGTCAATATTGGCCCAAGTCGTCTGCTGGTCGTGTCTGGGATCCAATCAACAAGATTTGCGAGCCGCGCAAATTCCTGGTCACAACAAGGGGACGTAAACATTGTGTGCTTCAGTTGGCCAGATACATTCAATGCTCCACTGTTTTACCAGACTCAAAGCTCCGGGAAACAATTATTTTACTTATAACACAAAACAGACATTTTATTTGTTTTTGCTTTCTATAACAAATATCTTTCATCCAAATAAGGTTTGTTCCATCCACATGGGATTTTACAAATAAAATAATGATATTAATAGCGAGATAACTAAGTTAGGCTTCGAATGATTAACATGTGATGTAATTTTAACGAATCTTCCTGCGTGGCCAGATAAATTGTTCAGAACAAATCTAAAACATAAAATATAGAAAGATGTTTGTACATTGAAATAAAGGGGAGTTAATACTAGAAAAAAAAATTACTAAACAGATAGAATAAAGGGGGGGTGGGTGGCCTGAACTGTACAAGAATTGGGGTTGAAAAAACTAGAAACAAACACTTGAAATATTATTGGTGGATAAATACAGTAACAAAAATACGTTGATAAACGGGAGATAAATAGATGATGAGAAATACAATAAACTAGACGATACAACAACTAAGCAAATACTAAACATTTCTCGGCCAAACCAAACGGTCGCTGTCAGTAGAGACGTGCACTTCATCATGCTGAACTTCATTTTAATTATTATTTATTCGTCTGAGTCAAATGAGACCTGTACTAATAGATCTTACCTTATATCTTTCTTTCAATTTCACGAGTGAAAACAAAAATAAATCCGATTGGCCGCCACTAGAATGTAAATAAACGAGTTGCTTCCCTTAGTCGTCTGCTGCTCGACGCTGGGTCCGTATTTTTTCTAGGTCTGTCATCTTTCTGCGATAAATAAAAATTTATCGCCAACTTGTCCCCTAATTTTCAATTGTTTCCTTAAAGTACTGTTTCGACTGGAATGTCGTGTAATCGAAAGTAAATAAAAGACCAGAGTTACGTTCCTTGTAATAAAAAGTAAACAAGAGCTCACCTAATTTCCTGTATGTTGTACTGATGTTAATACTGATGTTGATAGGATTTTTTTTCCTTCTGACTTGCGGGTTAACTAAGTGAGCAAGTGATACGATTTGTATTTTTTTTTTTGGTACTTAAGCATCAAAAGATTTTTTTCTCATGAATATGCAACCCATCCCTAACGCAACATTTGCAGCAGTTGTAAACTCGCCTAGGGGAAACGGGTCAAAAATATTTTAATTCGAATGGATGATGACCCCTGTGTACTTGTTATAACCCGCCTCACCAGCATGAGACCCCCCCCCCACACCCCACCCCCACACACACACACACTTTATAACTGGCGAACATTTAGGCTACATGGTCACATATCCAACAGATTTATCGTGTACGCTGAGAACCGATTCTAGGGCGAAAAAAGTCATGTTATTAACATTGTTAATCTCGGCTCGAAGTCAAGGTGACCCACAGTATGACGTCATCTGGGTACTAAACCACATGGGCCCCACAAATTCGGGATAAATCAGTAAGAATACGCTGACGATAACATTCGGTGCTCAAATTAACAAGACAAGTTTACGACCAGAAATGGGGACTTCATCCTGTCGGGCGGGCCAGATAAGAAATTGTTGTCAGGTCTGGTGTCACCTTTTGTAAGACGTAATGTCGCGAGACTTTTGTAAGAAGTACTTGCAATCTCGCGTGTTTGAGCGAGACTTTGTAAGACGTACTTGCAATCTCGCATGTTTGGGTGAGAATTTTGTAAGACGTACTTGTATTCTCGCGTGTATGGGCGAGACTTTTTAATTTTTTTAACAGCCTTCAGTCCCACTAGCAACCTTGGACATATTGAACCTAAATAGAAACCTGGGTATATTGAATTTAACTGGCAACTAGTTTATACAACATAATAAACAGCATCGTGCTAATTAAATATCTGTTTTTGCGAGACTGTCTTATAACTTATATGCATGTTATATCTCTAGGTCTGATTTCAGTTCTTCCATAAGCAGAGTTTCATAAGCATCTCTTCGAAGAGATGCCCCTCCCGCCCCCCCCCCCCCCCCCACCTCGAACGAAATGGAATTTATATAGAAAACATACTTTTAGCAGTATTCGAGCCCCCGGAAAATGTTGACCGCCCCCAGCCCCCCAAAAATATCAAGTGACCCCCAGGTAAAAAAAAGTCTGGAATAAACACTGACCATAAGCCTTGAAGACAACACAAACTTATGTTATTTCAAGAACAGCTGTCCCAACTAGTGAGAAGCACTTCTCACTTGTAATAAGGGTTTCTTTCAGGCATTTTTTGTGGGGGGGGGGGGGGGTATGGGGTACTTGAGACTTCCAGGGAGGGCAGACAATGGGTAAGGAATATATCTATCTATATATATATAAAGCAATGTATGTGTGTTTGTCCTTTATGCACTACTACACCTCTCATCACATCGCCGTGAAACTTTGGGAAGTTGTTGAGAATGTTCCTGGAAAGGTTTCTGCGAAAAAAATAATTTCAAATTCGCAAGGGTGGCGCCCCGGCAGGGCGCGATTTGTTTTTCTCTATATACGGTATATAAAAATTAAAGTCGATTTTTATTTGACACCATTCATCTGATCGCTATTAAACTTTGGTGAGTTCATAAGAACACTTTAAGGAAAGGTTCTGCAAAAAAATCATGTTTAATTTCACAAGGGCGGCGCCACGGGAGGGTGCGATTTTTCTCTATATACCGTATATAAAAGTAATTAAAGTGCATTGCCGTGACACGGCTGACACGATCGCCATGAAACATTGGGAAGATGTAGAGAATATTCCTGGTGAGGTTTCTGCGCTAAAAACATTTTCAAATTCGCAGGGGTGGCGCCCCGGTATGGCGCGATTTGTTTTTTCTCTATATACGATATATAAAAATAAAAGTCGATTTTGGTTTGACAGCGTTCACCCGATAGTCATGAGACTTTAGGGAATTGATTAGAACACTCTAGGGAAGTGTTCTGTTAAAAAAATAATTCTTAATTTCGCAAGGGCGGCGCCACGGGAGGGTGCGATTTTCCTCTATATACGGTATATAAAAATAATAAAAGTGAATTGCAGTGACACCGTTCATCCGATAGGCATGGAACTTTTGGGAGTTCATTATAAAACAACTCTAGGGAAGGGTTCAGTAAAAAATCATTTTTAATTTCGCTATGGGGCGTTACAAACGATTATTAAATTGAATCAGGCGTGTCCTCTGGCGCACTGGTAGGGTGTGATTAGGCTGTAAATAAAAATGTCTGTTTCGGCCCCCATAGGATCACATGGGCCGCTGAGGGCCATGTAATATGTTTTGTTTTAATAATCAGAAAAATTAACCAAGGTTAGATTATTAACTGGGATGTTTCTTTTTGTCCGTAAAAAAATCCAAACAGTTGAGTCACTTTGCAAATGATGCAATTAGCATCTATTTTTAGATAATCCAAACAGAAATTGAGATCGAGCTTCTAAAATTGACCATTAGTAACGCTAATATATTGCATCAGTTACACTGATGTTTAAAACGCGTCAACTAATTTTTTTACGTGTTCAGTAACAAATCCTGTTCATTTGTGTCACTTTAGTGAATGTAGCAATCTGCATCATTGTTAACAGGATGCTATTTTAAGGAACCAGGGGTCGAACGCCGCGCCCATGCAGTAGTGTAATCGGGGGGGGGGGGGGGCTCCTGGGAGCGGGCCTCTACGTCTCTGACACATGGATGGTCACCGAAGTTTGTTCTACCATATTATTTCGGTGAGTGATTAATGTACTCTCAAGGTTTTCATGTGGTAGTGTAGGTAAGCCCGTGTCTCGATATTTATGATTCAAGCGCAGGCATTGTTTACATTTAAATAACTCAATTTTAGAAAAGAAGGTCACGCGTCTAAGAACATATGATTGGTAATATATTTCGTCAAACTTTCTTCTATCCCCGCGGCAACGCGCGGGGGCGGGTACGCTAGTTTTCTATATAAATTCAATATTTTCCTGTTTCCGCCCGGTGGTGGACGGTGGACGTGTTTCTGGTGGCGATTCCCCCTCCCCACGGAAAGAGGACTGAAAAACTGCTTTTCTGTTTTGATACATTTGGTCAACCATACTTTTCTGTTTTGATAACTTTGGTCAACCATACTTTTGTGTTTTGGTAACTTTGGTCAACCATACTTTTGTGTTTTGGTAACTTTGGTCAACCATACAATTGTGTTTTGGTAACTTTGGTCAAGCATACTTTTGTGACTTGACAGCTCAGCAAATTTAAACCGTTATTGTTTTGTACTTCAATAGCAACTTTGGTGCACCATACAATTTTTTTTGCCTGTTTTCATGTTTCTCCTTGAAATTTTGCTTTCATAGTTTACATGTCTACAAACCTGACAAGATGAAAACAAACGATAGATGATAAAGAAAATAATGATTTAATAAAGCATTCATGTATTTAAAGAAACATTGAGTTTTATATACAAAGATCTATTCCATCCGACAAATACATACAGTATATATACAGATCTATTGGTTTATCTAGGAGAAATTAGGTACAATATTTACATGACTACATAGTGGCATGCTGGGCTAGACTAGGATAAACAACAAGACTTCGCTAATCACAACATTGCTGGGTGGAGCACGATCAACCCAAGGTCTCACATGACCTAACTGTAAGGTCTCTAATGACCTTACTCTAACTGTAAGGTCCCCACTAACCTTAACTGATTGTATGTGCACATCTAAAGATATTCTTTGTATATAAAATAATAATTTAAAATACGTTTGTTTTTCGCAACTACATCATTGACATCCATACCTCACACGCATCATTACACATCTGTCATCCAACAACAGACAGTCAAACAACATACACGGATTAACTACAATAAATTAGCTTTGTCTTTAGACACATACCACATACATCTAGACACAGTACCAACTGTAGCCAGCTAGGAAGTAACAACAACACAGACTTTCTACAGAGCAGCTAATATTGGCTGCAGCAATCTACATAGAAATGTCAAACATAGATATCACAAAATTACTTATAGAATCAATGCAATTTATATTTGAGAACAAAGAAAAATAGTGGTGAAAATATCAGTGGTTTATAGAGGAATAATGAGAAGCTTTTGCTTCCTCAGTCAGATTCATAAGTGTGGAACACCCACAAGTACACATACACACTAACAGGTGTACACCTGTGTACATAAATATGTGCACATTAGTGTTTATATGTCTACACAAGTTTTTACACAAGTTTACACTTCCTCACATGTATACACACATGTACACATTCACACATGTACAGCTACACCCCCATATGTACACACACAAGTTCAAATATCTACACAAGTATACACACATGCACACATATACAGCCACCCACACAGATGTACACACATATATACACACAAGTTCACACATTCACACAAGTACACACACATGTAAGCATCCACACATGTACACATCCACACATGTACAGCCACACACATATGTATAGATGTACACACACAAGTTCACACTTCCACATGTACTTATCCACATATCCACAAAGAAACACAGCCACACAGATGTACAAAGACCATCTTAGCCTGTGGAGACTTAACATGGTGACATTGCTGTCAACACACCATATGTGACACCACTCATGGCATCACAGTTACACTGGTGACACTACAACACTGGTGATACCAAATCTAAATGGTGACACTTCAAACCACAGGTAATACCAAACTCAACTGGTGATATAATGACATACCTACACTACAGACTAAGCTTCCCACATATCTCCACAAGCAAAAAGCAACTGGCAGATCATGTATTATGTCAGCTTAAGGAAATCATTTTATGTTGAACAACCAAATCACACAGAGGACATTGGAGCAACCCATGGTGGTCAACAATAGAGCCAACATTAACCAACTGTATGTGTCAACCACATGAACCAACCACATGCACCAGCCACATGTACCAACCACATGAGCCAACCACATGTACCAACCACACACCAACATGACAGTACCAACCACACGTACCAACAACACTACCCAACCACATGTGCCAACCACATGAGCCAACCACATGTGCCAACCACATGAGCCAACCACATGTGCCAACCACATGAGCCAACCACATGTGCCAACCACATGAGCCAACTGCTGTCCTTCAGTGTGATATGACCAGGGGTCACCCCTTCCCTGAACTAGTGGCATAGATAATGGTCAAAAGATGATAACAACAACAAACAAGCACCCCATCACTCCTGTCTGTTCAGAAAACTGTCAGCCTTAGAATGGGCTCCAGTTCTGAGACTTAGAATGGGCTCCAGTTCTGAGCCTTAGAATGGGCTCCAGTTCTGAGCCTTAGAATGGGCTCCAGTTCTGAGCCTTAGAATGGGCTCCAGTTCTGGGGGCGTATAGAGACCCTGGACTTGAGGATGGTCATCTCGTCAATGTGCTGGTCAGGCAGCTGGGCTGTGGCTTCTTGAAGTCCGCCATTCAACAGGGGGTGGATGCACACACTGATAGCTGGGCGACTCTTCTTGTACCTGCGGAGATGTTTGATTGCGTTAGAGGTTTACTAATAAAAAGATTCAAGTGTTTCAAACTGTCACTAATTTGATCTGGTATCATGCCTACTACAGAATTTTTAAAAATCTAACTAAATAAAAAATCAAAGATAACGTGTCAGCGAAGAAACTTACTTGCTCATTAGGTAGGCTTGCAATCCTCGACAGACACTTAACGAGCGTCCAGTGTACAGTTGGAAGTTTATTAGACCTTCAACCTAATTACGGAAATTGTCTTCATTAATAGAGTTGGCTGTTGTGAAACATAATTAACTTTTAATTAACTAATTTTTTGTAACAAAAGTAAACGATATTTACAAGAGGAAACAATCTTTATGGACCATGCTTCTAAAATCCTTAACATTTTGTTGAATACGACAGAAATTATACGTGACCATTCAATCAGGTCATAATTAAGTATATAAATTAATGTATGTGCTTGTTAAATGTTCTGAAGTTTGACTTGAGATATTTAAATGAAGGAATAAGTCTGAGATCAAATAACTCAGTTGTCCCTGCCTTTAGAAAAAAAGCAAAAATATGGGGTCAACAAATTTTCTCAATCTATGCACTGTATTTCTAAGTTTAAAACATTTTAATGACTTTTTTATTAATAGTTATTAGGTAAATTTGACGTGTGACCTAGCGATAGAGAGCTAGCCCGCTAACTTAAAAAAAGTCACCATTTCCATTTTAAAAATAAAGTAGATATTGAATCAGCAGAAAGTATTGTTTTTTTCTGAAAACTTCCATTGGTAAAAAAAATATCGGCATACAATATTCCTCAAACAAAAAAAAAAGGTTTTTGTTTAAAAAATGTAACAGTTACAACTCTGAAGGAAAAGCCTGCTTCGCATAACTGTTAGGATGGCAAGTTTAAAAACAAAAATTACTTTTTCAAAAAAATCTTTGACTCCCTCAGTGTCCATAGTCCCATTTTTTGCTATGATACAGACTCTCTCTAGCGTGGAGCATTTGGCCATGGCTGTTAGCATTTGCTCATCAATTTTCATGTAGGGGTGCTCTAGTCTGGGAAAATATTTTCATGAAGTATAAAATACACCATACATTTTACATATGGTAATTAAAAGTTTATTCATTTGGTAAGAACTTGTTTAAAAACATACACAATGACTTATTTGATAACAAACACTGCACCTTTTCAAGTTACATGAAATAATCCTAAAATAATTTTGATGTTTATCTTAAAAGGTGGGTGACAAAGAAGGCGATTCTGAAAGACTTACCTGAAATCTCTGAGCTGAGAGAAGAAAGGAAATGCTGCCAACAGACCTCCCCTGTACAAGCAGTGTGCAATCTGGCCCAGACAGGCAATGGATAACTGCTCTAATGATACACAACCTTTGGCAATGGCCAGCAGACAGTGACCCTGGTTCACCCCTGGAAGGTAGACAACTCAGCTCATAATACATTGGCCACAAATGCTTAAAAATCTGGCTAAGTTGTCTAAACTATTTATTAGCCTTAACAGAAGGCCTTAACTCAATCAAAAACCATGTTAAATCATAATTAATTATAAATAACTACATATTATACCTAACTAAAATCAATTTTAAATAGGCCCTATCCCTAAAAGCAAATGTTAGGTGAGTTTCAGAAGGAAAAAAAAAAAAAACTTGCAGCCCTATTTTTAAAAAAATAAACCCATTAAGAGGTATGGGGACTGTAGAAGTTTGACTTGCCTGGTATAGATGTCAGCTGTAAAGTCTTTAAATGTTTCCAGCGTCCTATACACATCAGCTCCTGGTCCCCAACAGTCAGGGAGAACATGCTGAAAAAGTTTACAATAGGGAAACATTTGTTTTTGATTAGCGGAAACATTTGTTTTTTATGGGCGCAGTTATTTGAAATATGCTCTCACAGTCACAACAAAACATTTGTACACAACAAAAAGCTAAATTAAATATTTAATTTCCAGTTAAGTTAAGAGTTCTAAGCAGTGTTCAAATATTAGAGTATACGAATGCTAACCCAAAAGTCTCAAGATCGAATATGGGTTCAAGCCTGTAAAACATCCCGGAGTCTACCCAGCTCTGTTGGGTACTTGTTCCCCTTTGGGAAAGTAAAGGCGGCTGGGCATAGTGCTGACCACATTACCCCTTCATATGCTGAGGTCACAGATACATGGGAACTCTACTTCATTTACCCAATGGACCATAATTTTCAAAAGGGAACTTAGTTAAATAGTTCCAGCCAAAAGAAATACTGAGTTATCTATCAAGCTAAAGAGCTCAAGCCAAAATATGAAGTTTCCAGTCTAGCTGACATGTTTGAACCTACCAAGGACTTGACGTGCAAGTTGTTGGATGAACTCCAAAATATTTATTAAAAGCTGATCTAAACCCCGAACAATTGAGCTCAAAATTTTCCATGGCTGGACAGCTGCGGACTAGTTTCTCTAGCTCTGACACAAACGCTGGTTCATCCAAAGCTGTTGATGGGGATGAAGATGATGGGGATGATGAGGGAGGGGATGATGAGGACGCTGATGGGTCTTCTTGTGAAGTAGAAGGAGAGTTTGAATCTGGGAACTAAAAAATTAGATTTGGTAAGTAACAAACATATTTTTTAAAATTTAACAATAAATGTCAATAGAAAAAATTCATGATTTGTTAATTATATTGCAAAATAACTAAAGTATAATCATAGTGATCTTCTCCTAAAAATAAAATGTTAGCACCCACCATGGCAAAACTCTGGTTACATACTGCCCCAGCGCCAATTCTTCTACGCTTGACCAGATAGCCTTCAGGGACTAGTGAGAAGGTTCTCTTGCCACTTTTTGAGCTTCGCTCCACACTCAAACAGCAAGGAGACATGGACAAACACTTCCAACCTGCACAACCATTTTGATTAGTGAGACATGGACAAACACTTCCAACCTGCACAACCATTTTGATAAGTGAGACATGGACAAACACTTCCAACCTGCACAACCATTTTGATTAGTGAGACATGGACAAACACTTCCAACCTGCACAACAATTTTGATAAGTGAGACATGGACAAACACTTCCAACCTGCACAACCATTTTGATAAGTGAGACATGGACAAACACTTCCAACCTGCACAACAATTTTGATAAGTGAGACATGGACAAACACTTCCAACCTGCACAACAATTTTGATAAGTGAGACATGGACAAACACTTCAAACCTGCACAACAATTTTGATAAGTGAGACATGGACAAACACTTCCAACCTGCACAACCATTTTGATAAGTGAGACATGGACAAACACTTCCAACCTGCACAACAATTTTGATAAGTGAGACATGGACAAACACTTCCAACCTGCACAACCATTTTGATAAGTGAGACATGGACAAACACTTCCAACCTGCACAAACATTTTGATTAGTGAGACATGGACAAATACTTCACAACTATTTAGATGAGTGAGAATACTTGGTTACAACATAAAGCTTCACTTAGAAGTAACATTGTGACAACACTATAAACTGTTTCGTCAACCAAAAACTGGTTAACACTGCAGTTACTGAAGCAACAGGCCTTACTGTTGTTGACCGCTAGAAGAGCAGCCAGACTGCTGTAGGGGGTAGTGGTCAAGTCTTGCGTGTGGACGTGGATGCCACTGATGTTGAGGCTCCTCAGCTCCAGACATGCCAAGAGCAGGGCCTGTAGACCACTGATGTCATTGTACACCCGTCTCTGTTCTGCATTTTGCTATCAACACAAATAGTTTCATGCATTAAAAATACAGACTCACCAAAACGGGTTTCATTAAAGAACATTAATTGAACAAACTTTCAATATTATTAAAGAATTAGCAAAAACAGCATTGTGTCAGAAAAGGTGTTTCATTAGAGAGGCTCATTAATCTCATCACAAAAATATCACAGGGAAAGCAAAAAAAATTAATTCTCTTAAAAAATATCTCAGGATAATCAAAATTTACGTTGTTATAAGCTTTATACTATAGGAAGTTAGAATGGTATATCTGAAGAAACAGAAGAGTTGAAATAAAAGTTACCTTCAGAGGCCCTAAAAGAATATAATTACAGTTCTGTAGGTTGAGACTTGTGAGTTTAGGGCAGGTGTCAGCCAGAAGGTGCAAGGTCTCAGACGTCACAGCAGCGTTGTCAGATAGGTTCAGGTACTGACCAAAGGGAAGAAACTCTTTTTATTTTGTCAAGCTTTATACAGACTTTCAAGGACAAATGACACACAGCTATTAATGGATCAAAATTTTATGAATAAAAAATGTATCAATAAAAATTTTTTATTATTACTGAGCTGTTAAAAACTTCTTTCATTTTCGGTTAAGGTTGCATTATTTTTGTATTTATTTTATTTTGAATCTCTGCTGCCATGACACCATTCTCATACCTGTAAATTATGTGCCGATTCAAAATGGAGAACTTCACTAGGAATTTGAAATGTTGTTCTGGATGGATCGAAGTGGACAAGATCCTCCATGTTTTCTAGACACGTTGCATAGCCATCCATTGTCCACAGCTGGTCAACATTTCCCAAGGGTTGCAGAAGTGTCTTAAACTTGACCGACAGTTTACAGACGGACAGCAAAGTTCCAAAGAAAAACATGCGTGCGGCTGGATCCATTGCATCATTCAACGTCATAACTTTCACATTTTTCAGGTTTTCTGACTTTAAGATTTGTGGCTGAAAAATGTACTTAGGTATACCTCTGGCGTTGCTTGGGAATCCATATACATGAAATTCCTCCAAGTTCTTACAGTATTCAAATAAAGTTGGTCCTGAACAGAAATTGATCACAGGTCTGTTTGAATAAACTAACTGATGTCGAAAATGCAAACTTAGAGAAACAAGCCTGGCCAGGCAGTCTTGGGCTCCTGGAGAGTTGGAGAGCTCTGGGTGCAAGTCTCTGATGTCTGAGATAGAAAAAGAGAGGCTGGAGAGACTGGGTAGAGATGACATGATGCTGCACAGTGTCTTCACTGACACGCGAACCTGCATCAGGTGTAGAGAGGATAAATTGCTGCATTTTGATAGTAAATCTACAGCGCCACACTTTAACCAATAGCAGGAGTTTAAATTCAGTGTCTCAACTTTATCTACCACAGGGCTGACATAGGACTGGAATTTATCTGTTGTAAGCCAATAATTTCTTGCAAACTGAAGGTGACTGAAAGAAAATGAAACAGTGTTATAAATGGTGGAGAGAGTAAATGAAGTACTCAATAATAGAAAAGTAGCCAATGTGATTTTAAAAAATATTTGTTTTGGATTTACTAAAGTAAGTAATCAATGTAGGTACTATTTATGGTTGTATTCATTTACAGCAATTTTCTTTAAAAATAAATGTTGATACTCACTAAAATATACAATAATTTGAGTTTAGTTTTGCTTGATTTCTACTATTGTAAAATTTTTTTAAAGCCAAATGGTGTGAACATCTTTACTCCTTTAATGAGTGGAGCAATAATTACCATTTGTAATGCCTTTACAATAAAACCCCAATTTTAAAATGCACAGCTGTATGACTTCTTCCCTAGCTAGATATAACTTTAAGGCAATAACATAATAATATGGTGAAGTTGAAGTGTTGGGCTTATTTTTAAAGAGGAAATTATTTTTTATCCATGGTCTAAGTGCTGCATTCATGCCACAATGTTTCTCAGTTAAATGTTTATTAATTTAGTAAAAGGAGACATTTGAAAAACAAAGCAAGACAGGTATGAAGCAAATTTTTGTAATAATTTTAGCTTCTTTTCAAATTTTCAGTCGGGCAACGAGAACAGTCTAGAAAGCTTCATTAAATATTTCTAAAATTCTGTGTGATATTATTAAAACAAGGTTGTTATAAAAATTTTATTATAAGGTTGGAGGTATTTAATGTCTTAGTATTTTTGGTAACTAAACTAAATTTTTTAAAAGGCTAAAACTATATTTTTCTTCATTTTTATCACCGAGAATGAAAACAAACATGGTGTAACTAGGTCATGTGGTCTACAAAGGTATAATTTTATTAAAAACTATTACCTGCAATGTTTTGAGTTCAAATATAGGTCTATCTATCTATCTATCTATCTATCTATCTATCTATATATATATATAAAAAGCAATGTATGTCTGTGTGTGTGTCTGTGTGTCTTTTATGCATTACCACACCTCTTATCACATCGCCGTGAAACTTTGGGAAGTTGTTGAGAATATTCCTGGGGAGGTTTCTGCGAAAAAAAAAAATTCAAATTCGCAGGGGTGGCGCCCCGACAGGGCGCGATTTGTTTTTTCTATATACGGTATATAAAAATAAAAGTCGATTTTGGTTTGGCATCGTTCATCCGATAGCCATGAGACTTTGGGGAGTTGATTATATTACTCTAGGGAAGGGTTCTGTGAAAAAATAATTTTTAATTTCGCAAGGGCGGCGCCACGGGAGGGTCCGATTTGTCTCTATATACGGTATATAAAAATAATAAAAGTGAATTGCAGTGACACCGTTCATCCGATAGGCATGAAACTTTGGGGAGTTCATTATAAAACTCTAGGGAAGGGTTCTGTAAAAAATCATTTTTAATTTCGTAAGGGCGGCGCCACGGGAGGGTGCGATTTTTCTCTATATACGGTATATAAAAATAAAAGTCAATTTTGGTGTGACACCGTTATCCGATAGCCATGAGACTTTGGGGGAGTTGATTAGAACAATTCAGGGAAGGGTTCTGTAAAAAAAATCCTTTTTTAATTTCGCAAGGGCGGCGCCACGGGAGGCTGCGATTTTTCTCTATATACGGTTTATAAAATGTCGGTTTCACACCGTTTATCCATGTACCATGAAACTTTGGGGAGATGATTAGATTACTCAATGGTAGGGTTCTGCAAAAACATATTTTTTAATATTGCAAGGGCGGCGCCCCCCGGGGGGGGGGGGGGGGGGAGGAGCGATTTTTTAAATCTATACACGGTATATAAAAAAACAACTCGGATGCGGTTCATCCGAGTGCCATGAAACTTTAGGGAGTAGATGAGAATACTCCCGAGAATATTTCTGCGAAAAAGAAAACTGAAGTTTCTTATGGGCGGCGCCATATAGGGTACAACTTTCGTCAATACACGGCTTGGCGCCCAGAGATTTAGAGCGACTATGTTGGCACTTGGCATCCGTTAATAGAGCGTCCTGCATAGCGAGTAAGGGGTACTACTATATTCAGCGGTAAAACTACAACAGGCTTCTAAAAATAACTTTGTAACGCGAGGAAATCCTTCTGTACAGTTTCGTCACCTTGCGAAAGATGAAAAAATAACTTTTTGAATATGAGGAGCCTACTGTAGAGTTTCGTCACTTTGCGAATGATGCAATAAGCATCTATCATTAGACAATCCAGTCATAATCGAGATCGAGCATCTAATAATAGACCATTAGTAACACTAGCATATTGCATCAGTCACACTGATATTTAAAACACGTCAACTACGTGTTAAAGAAAAAAATCCTGTTCATTTGTGTCACTTTAGCGAATGACGAAATCTGCATCATTATTAATAGGATACTATTTGGCACGCTGGCGCCTGTTAGTTTTAAGGAGCCTGGGGTCGTACGCCGCGCCTATGCGGTAGTTTAATGGGGGGGGTGGGGGGGGGCCCTGAGAGCGTAAAATCGTGTCCTGATATTTATGATCCAAGCGCAGGCAATGTTTACATTTAAATAACTCATTTTTGGAAAAGAAAGTCACGCGTCTAAGAACATATAATTGATAACGCGATGGTGAAATCCTTCTAATATATTTCGTCAAACGTTTTTCTATCCCCGCGGCAACGCGCGGGGGTCGGGTACGCTAGTATACTATAAAGTAACAAAGTAAACTGGGGTTTTTAGAAGATAAATTTCAGAGCTTCTATACAGCCGATCAATGTTTATTTCACGAAAGTGAAACCTCTGGTTATAATTTAGGTTTGATGAAAATAAATAGAAATGCAGCCTTAAGTGCAAAACATATATGTTCAAGTTTTTTTTTGGCTTTGTTTTTTTTTTTGACTAAAACAAAATTGTTATCAAATTATTGATTGTATTGTCAACAATAAAAATAATGTGTTGTTATCCATTAACAGCATAAATTAAACCTGTTGGAAATTTACACAATCAAATTTTATAATCTCATGTAGATTAGGGGTAATCTATCATTTTAAGCACGTAAAATCGTGGGAGGCTAGTAATGTGATAGAAAGGTGACTCATTGATATGGCTTCCATACATGTATACTGTGATATATTTGTAACAAATATAATAGATAATTGCATAATTAACAAAAAGCAATGTCACTTTATATAATTATAGGCCCATAATTAACTTTAAACAGCAGTATTTGCTATATAAACAGCTGCCATCTGTAAATTAGAGTGGTTTCCCCTGAATCTCTAACAATAAGTTAACAAAAAATAAACAGGATGGCTGCTATAAAATAAACAAGCTTGGTTGCATCTGATGAAAACATTGCTAATCTTTATTTATTACTGAAAAGTTTTAATAAAATTGTTTAAAAACAGGTACATGAAGCATTTTTGTAATTTTTGAAACATAAATCCTCCTAAAATGTGAAAAAATTACTAAAATGTAATGAGTCACCTTTCTTATACATTACTAGCCTCGACTGATTTTATGTACCTAAAACGATAGAATACCCACTTAGATAATACTTTTAGTTAGTTTAGCTAGTACTCTAGTTTAAGTTTATATAATTAGGTCTTATTGATTATTGAATGATTTCTTGAATCAAGTTAAAGCTGTGGTGTTAAATCCCCACTTTGCTCTCCCAGCAAAAGGGGGATTTTATTTTACTAGATCTATTTCTAAATCTAGATCTAGACATAGATCTAGATCTAGCTCCAGTTTTAATGAAAATCTCAACAACAAAATTTTTTTCAAGTTTCAATTATAGCTTGCACAGTGGTAAACTAAGTCAATTTAGCATATATTAACTTTTTGTGCAAACAATTTTAAAAAAAACAAAATTTAAGTATAGTATTGTATATGCCTAGGGGTAGTAAAATGGTAGTTTAAAAAAAAATTGAATGTTATATTTTTGTGTTTTATGACAACATTTTTACACAATTAACATGCCATGCTTTTTAAATTGACAGAGGGTAAGTATATCATGTTACAAAAACTGCTATCTTAACTAACAATTCATATTTTCAATATAAAACTGTTAAAAAACAATCAGCAATCATGAAAGCATTTTATTTTTAGGTATAAAGTGAGGGTGCATTCTATTTTTAGGTATAAAGCGACATGACTAATAAATCTAGCCAAATGATTGGATTTTGGTGCTGCATGCATTTTCCCACGCTTTATTTTGGGCAAAAAGATTATAATAAAATAGCATTATGGGGAGAATTATTCCCAGACGTTGTTATTTTTATAAAGCTAAGACTCTGAACAATTGCTTAATCATATGCTGGTTAACATTAGAAGAGTAGTTTATAAGTTATTTGATTTTAAGTTCATTCTAACACAAGAATAAACAGAGTTACTTTCAATAAAGCTCCGCTTGCGAGATAAAGAAATTATGTCAAAACTACACTTTCTATTCTTATTTAACAGAATTAATTAGAAATGGGTGATTCCGATTACTAAAATTGACGATGGCTTCAAAATCATTGGTTTTATCCCTCTACATTCTACATCTTCATGAAAACGAAACTGCACCGCCATCTTAGTAAATCGCTTGGGCTGTGAGATAATATAATTAATATAAACAAACAACCTGGAAGCTGTGAACTGAATGGCCTAATACAATATAGATCTAGTGTAAAGTCACAAAGTGAGTAAAGCAATGAATGAGTTTCAGTAGAGAATTGTTTTTTATATATTGTTTTGTAATTGTAACCGTATTGTTCGAATTTTAAAAAATTAAAAAACATAGGCCTAGGCCTATAGACCTAGATCTAGGCCTACATTATTCTTATTGTATTAGAAAACGGGTTAGTTTAAATAAGATTTGGGCCTAGGCTAAATAATATTAATGTATTATTCGTTTTAACAGAATCTAACATTATAATTCTAACAGACTCCCTTTCAGTTTCAGTGAAACAGTGAGATCGACTGAGATCAGATTACCCTGCAAAATTTGCACTTACCGAACTAAAGATTTGTCTGTGCATATGGTTGCAAATCGTTTATTAACATGTCTCAAATTGAAGAAATCTTTTAAGCTAAGATGCTTTAATATATACAGTATAACATCATCGGAAAGTCGATCGAAACAAGAATCATCTTTGGAATATTTTTCAGTGTCAACAGTCGCCATTTTATCAACAAAGTAAATAAGCTTTATCTCCCTTACATATAACCACAGAGAGTAGATCCCCTTTTTAAAAATCGGTGCTAAGGACGCTTTCAGTCATAACTAAGAGGATATATTTTTTTCTATCTGATAAAAATTTACAGACAGTGATCAAAATACATTAACTCTATATTTTTAAATTTACTTATCGTGAATTATTATAAGACAATAGATATGCCTATAGGAAATGGTAACAATAATAATAATTGTATGTCACTAAAACAAAAAAAGAAGGACGAAATTGTACAGAAGGCTAAGGTATGAAAAAAAAAATACTTTTAATAAATTAAAATTAGGCCTATATATATTAATATAGATCTACTTACTTTAGACTTAAGATTAGAATACTTTAGTAATACATCAAGGAGCTAACTTATTATTGTAAGTTACAGAATCTACATCTAGTAAGTAAAAAAAAACTACAGTATTGTCAGTAACAGTACAGTTATGAGTACAGTCATCTCATTGTTTATACTTATAATAATAAATTATTATTAATTATAATTATTATTATTATTAATAATATTTAATAGGCCTATAGGCCTAGGATTATTGTAGTACTGAATACTGTATAAAGATTCTGAAACACTTTTTAGTAATATTTCATTAGATATGTATTTGTATAAATAATAGTTGTAAAAGTACATTATATATATATAAAATTATATATATATATATATATATAATAATATATGTATATATATACATATATATATATATATATATATATATATATATATATATATATATATATATATATATATATTTATATATTATATAGGGTCATCCATTAATGACGTCAGACTCGTAGGGTGAGGGGGGTGCATAATTTTGTAACAGTGCATGATGATGGAGTGGGGGGGGGGGGGGTTCAGATGGTGTGATGGCACACTTTTGGATTATAAAAAAGCAATGTTAAAAAATGAATTTTAGCAGTTATCTTGTGTTAGAAAACTGTTAATAAATTGTAATAGAAATTGATTAAAATAGATCTACTGTATTTTGACAGAGTTCAGACAAGATTTTGGAAAAATATCAATGTTTGAAGAAAAATTCTACTGCAGTTTTGAGGGCAGTTGTAGGCTGAGGTGTGACATCATTTTAGGGGGTCTGATTTTTTGTGACGATGTGTGACAGAGGGGAGGTAAAAAAGATTTTAAAAGCGTGACATCATTTATGGATGACCCAATATATATAGGCTATATATATGTAGCCAGATGACCTTCTAATTCGGACTGGCCAGTCCACCATGGCCAGTCCGCTGATTGGCCGGCCAAAGGCCGAAATAAAGTAAAGTTTTGGACTTTGGCCGGCCAATGCGCACACATATACATACAGAGAGAGAGTTTCACTTTCACAAAAGCTTGAGGTGCATTTCCAGTTAATATGTTAACATTTTTTTTTTCAAGATTCAAGCAATCAAACAACGTCAACAAAATTGGCTTCAACAAAGAAAGGAATGTCAAGAGCAAGATACAAGTAAAAAAATAATTTAATGTGCTGTGTTGGTATCATTATAAAAAACAACACTGTTAATGTTTAAACCTGTTTTTAAACTGTTAATGAAATTGTTCAAATTTCTTGTAGGTCTTCTACCAAACAAATGTATGTCCAGTTCATCCATAAAGGCATCACCAGTCAGTATTAAACATGAACCTATTGCTAACAAGGAGAAATTGAATGTAAATATTGTACCATTAAACCTTAAGACTTGCATGACTGATTTTCTAATCATTTCCTTTAATTTTATTTTTTAATTAATTATGACATAACTTCAATAATATATCTGCAGGTGCGTGATAAATTTGAGCATTGGATAAATGAAAGAATTAAAAGCAGAGACATCAATGAAGAATCAGACTTTACAGATGACTGTAGCTTTGTAAGTGGACCCAACAGTGAGCTAGAAAGAATTGCTTCCCCTGAACTCGATACTCAAAGGCAACCCATTCAAGAAGAAGAGTTTGGAACTTTGGCAGAAAAAATAGCCAGCAAAGTAAAAGAAGAAATGGGTATTTTAAATTACAATAAGTCTTTGACCAAAACAGCTTCTCATATCACAGTGCTTAAAGGAAGTAAAAATGACAAGGAAATAAAGCGCTGTCAAACGCACACACAAATACCACCTGTCTTTGATTATAAAAAATCTAGCATCCCAGGGAATCACAGTTGCCCAGATTGTGGAAACTTGATGGTATGTTTTTGTTAAATATATAAATTAAAAATTGAATGTTTCTTCAAAATGTAACTGAAACTTCACAGTTAAAAATTTAAATAAAAATAATATGCTTTAGTCTAAATATATTTATTCTAGTTATTTTCTGAGAACCAACCAATGATGTTAATACCTTGTGGTCACACATTATGCAAGTCTTGTGCTCAAGAAACAAGATCATGTCCTAATTGTTATTGTTCTGTTGAAACAACAAAATTAAACAGTGTCCTGCATCAAGTGATTAAAGAATACCACACCCAAGATAAAATACCGCAACGCGACCTAAAATCCTATAATCAAGGTATTCATTTGGTGTACAATAGCTCATCATTTTTAAAAATTTGCTATTAGGCAGAGGTTGATTGGCTGTATCCAAGCCACCTGGGAGATAAATAAAAGCAGTCCCGTTCTGACTTAAAATTTTCATACTGCATTTATTTTTCATCCAATTTGTTATCTACAAAGTCACAGGCTGCTATATTAATTGCAGTATACAATACTAACAATAAAATAACAGACGAAGGGCTATTTAAATAAACACATTTTTTACAATCAAAGCACTTATTCTGGCTGCCCACTTGGATTTTTCCCTGCGTCACCAGTCCACCCTGCCATTAGGTGTTGAAAAATAATAATTTTATTTGGTGTCTATTAGACCTTTTTTTTAAAATTATTAAAAATAATTTTAAAGATAATTAATATTAGTACATTGTGCTTATCTTTTTTTTAAATGGACTATTTAGTTTTTTAATAATCATTCTTTATTAGGGCTAATATAGTATTAAAATTATATTGAACAGCTTTATATACTTTATGTTTTAAGAAGAGGGGTCAGGGCCATTCAGCAGCTGTTCTATTTATGTATACTGGATATGTATCAATATAGGCTAGTTTTTGTGACCTATCAATACCAGTTCAACATTAGCATCATCTGCCCTATTTTTAATACTTTTTAATTATTGTCAGAGATTAAATACCATGAAAAATCATCAGTTTAGTACTAGAAAAACATGGACTTGGTAATGATAGCTGTGTCATACTTCAGGGTCTAGTGTTAGATTTAGGTTAAGTTTTCTTTGTTTAGTGCCATGAAATATGGTAGGGCTGTAATATAACTAAGCCACCAGTCACTGCTTCTGTAATGAAATAAACTCTGATATATTGTCTATGTTTGCAGAAAAGTTCCAGAGTTCACTCCCATCCTATAACAACCAACTTTCCACTCTTCAAACAAGGAAAGAAATATTAACCACAGAACACAAAACTTTGCTAAACAAACAAAAAACTGTTGCTAGTCAACTGCGACAAGAAGAATTACAGGCACAGACACTGAGAAAACAGGAAGAAGAAATAATCAGGACCATAAAAGAACTTCAAGATAGATTAAATTCTCTTAAAGTGCAAAGGTAATCCAATTATTTCCAAATTTTGATTATGCTAGAACTCTAAAGACAGGCGCCTAAAACACACATCTACATAAATTCTTTTTTGTTTCATTTTTGTATAGACAGGAATATCAGACAACAATTATGGATCTACAAAGTGAAAAATCTAACATTGAAGGAAAAATTTCACTTATTAGCACAACCATTGTATCTTTAACTAAGGAGATCGAAAAGGTAGACCCCAATTCTTTTTTTAAGTCTTCAAATTCAAATTTATACTTGTGTTAAATTAATTACATTTGAATTATTTGAATTATATTACAGATGAAATTGTTATCAGAAGCAGAAAGTGAACGATATTGAAGAGCATTGCATTTATTAACTACAGAGTATACTGGGATAATTTATTTTAAAATGTTTTCATATTATTACATGATTGTACAAGTATTACAAGGCAAAATTAAATTTAATGTATTATTTCTTTCTCATTCTGTGAATTAAATATAATGTAATATATATGAAAGCTTAAGTTTTATTTTTATTTAGCTTCACCAAATATTTAACTGATTAAAACATGATACCCTTTCTTGAAGTCTTTAGGTCATTATGGACTTTGTGTGAACATAAAATGTCTATAACTTAAAAGTAAATGTGTGGGCTAGTACAATTCCAGCTGCCTGAAAGTCTCGAACCCCAGAAACAGTTTTTGGGAGGTCACCAACTTCTTGACTAAATGAATACTTCAGTTGCTTTTCATAACTAATAAATCTATTAACACTATTCAGCACTGAATTGAACAGTTGATATCTTTATTCAGCATCACAGAGTTACTCAGGTACTGTGTAAATATTCTGGCAAAATCATGAGTCTAAAACCACTATATTGCATATGGTGAATTTCAATTTGTGTTGCATTTTCCTGTTATTATATGCAGGTTTTGAAATTTAGATTTGTGTGTATGGTTGTTGAAAAGGATTAATAATGATCAGCTCATCAACATAAGCTAACATACTGATTTTAAATGGTGATGACAAGAATATTTCATATGGTTGACTAACATATGGTTGTACCCTCAACTTAAGCTTAAACATAAATGACATAACAACCCAAGTTTATTTATTTTTTTATTAAAATTATAAAACAAGTAACAAAAAGAAAGCAGCCTTACAACAGTAGGTGAAATGTGGAATATATATTGTGAAATTCAATTAAATACATGCTAAAGAATATTACTCAACAAACATCTTAAAAAAGAAAAATATTCAAAATTCAATTAAAATAAAGCGATGAAAGATACATTTGGTAGATGCTATGTAAAAAAATAAATATCTGAAAGTACTATGTACAAAAACAGGAAAAATGGGCATGTTATACTCTCATTACCAACAACTATTTTCTCCTGTCTACTTCAATTTATGCAAGCTTAACAGTTAAAGCTTTATGATATGAACCAAGCAAATATTTTATTATATTATGATAGACACTATAGAAAGACAATGAGATTCTTGTATTACAACAAGATATATTATTGTAAGTGAATAGCTTTTATCAGAATAAAAGACTATTGTTTAAAAGAAAAACTTGATTTCAAACAGTTTAAGATACAGCTAGGTCATACAACTCTTCCTTTCCTGGAAAATACCAATAAGTCCCTTTGACATTCTTCGTCATTCTCATGATGTCGTCGCTGAGTGCGTCTCCTCCTGCGCCCACCATTCTGTCCAGCATGTATTCAAAATTGGCAGGACTTGCAGCATAAGCAATAAAAAACAAGCCAGCATCCCCATGAACATTGCCAAATGGCATGGACTGTCTCACCAGCTCAAAGGGCTTTGTTTCTTGAGGGATTTCCCCTAAAAGGTTAAAATAAAAAAATCAAAGAACATAGCAAATGATAACCAAATATGTAACATCAACATTTTTTTAATTTATTTATCTCAGTTAAACGTAAATATTTTTAACTTCCCTGAGTCATGAGCCAGACCAGGTTAAAACTCACCTGAGTCAGAACAGGTTAAAACTCACCTGAGTCAGGCCAAATTTAAACTCACCTGAAGTCATCCTGGCCACATGTGATGTTGGTGATTTGCGTTCAAGTTCAACGCTGTCTTCTCTTGTTCTGCCTACCCAGCTCTCCAAAGTGTGTGCTGCACACAAAAACAACACACTTTTAGATAAGGACTTTGAGATTTTAATAATTATCAGTATTTTGAAGAACTGACAGTGTTTATTGAGCTAATTGAGATAAATATCAACTTACATCTGGTATTATTAATTAAATGTAAGTTGTGAATCCACTTCTGAGTAAGCTGTAAATTAGAATTTATTTAAAGACTTATTTAAGAAACAAAATTAACGCTTAGTTTTAAATATCATATACACACACTTAGTTTTTAAATATCCCCCCATGTATATTCGGTCAAGATAAATATTCAATATCTCACCACATAGTTCCCCCCCAGTCAAGATAAATATCTCACCACATAGCTCCCACCAGTCAAGATAAATATCTCACCACATAGCTCCCACCAGTCAAGATAAATATCTCACCACATAGCTCCCACCAGTCAAGATAAATATCTCACCACATAGCTCCCACCAGTCAAGATAAATATCTCACCACATAGCTCCCACCAGTCAAGATAAATATCTCACCACATAGCTCCCACCAGTCAAGATAAATATCTCACCACATAGCTCCCACCAGTCAAGATAAATATCTCACCACATAGCTCCCACCAGTCAAGATAAATATCTCACCACATAGCTCCCACCAGTCAAGATAAATATCTCACCACATAGCTCCCACCAGTCAAGATAAATATCTCACCACATAGCTCCCACCAGTCAAGATAAATATCTCACCACATAGCTCCCACCAGTCAAGATAAATATCTCACCACATAGCTCCCACCAGTCAAGATAAATATCTCACCACATAGCTCCCACTAAATATCTCACCACATAGCTCCCACCAGTCAAGATAAATATCTCACCACATAGCTCCCACCAGTCAAGATAAATATCTCACCACATAGCTCCCACCAGTCAAGATAAATATCTCACCACATAGCTCCCACCAGTCAAGATAAATATCTCACCACATAGCTCCCACCAGTTCTTATGTCAACAGCTACCCTTTGCCTGTCCTCCTCATCCGCTGGATTTTCTGTGCCTTTCAGGTGAAAACTCAGATGTATTAACATTCAAAACAAAAAATTTTAAATTTTTATTGATACTATCTAGCTATAATAAACAATAATATGTACACTTCATAGTCCCAAACAATATTATTAAAGTTACACAAAAAGCCATTTATTATAAAATTTATCAAAAAGCAAAGGCAATTTTTTTTTAAATGCCTATATCGACTAAATTATACATTAGAAAAGAAATGTCATGAATATTTACCATCAATAAATCCTGACAGATCCCTTCCATTTCGATACTGAAAGCTGTAGATGTCTTCAAAACTTTCAATACAACTTTCAGGAAGACTTTTAATGAACAACTGACACAAATCAAACAACACACCCATATTGTTTGATTTGGCATGCACAAAAATATCTCCACCTAATCATATGAGGATTATCAAGTTCTTAGATAGCTTATACATTACAAATGCTATGCTTCACATAATTAGTAGCAGTATGATTATTTTACAAAAGTATTAAAGACTGGAATGACAGTTGACGCTGGCAGCTTTTGATAACATCTGAGTTCAAGTTAAACTATACCTGTGCTGGGCATTTCTCCAAGTGGTCCTTTTCTATGCAGGTAGGTAAAGTTCTCCTTTGGTTTACCAGCTACCTAAAAAGGTCAATATCTGTAACTAAAGTATGTCACTTTTTATTGGTGAGATTAAAAAAAATGCTACTTTTGAAAATGAATAAAGTACCTTAGTATAAAAATGGGCACCAAACCCCACTCCTGCAAGCACTTCGTCATCCTCAACACTTGTCTCCGGATCATTGACAATATTCACCATCTGAGGTAGGTTAGCTGCCACTTTGGCCACACATTTAACATTGGCTGTTGGTTTCAGGTGTATCCACAGATATAAGGCATGGTCCTTCTCAGGTGTCCACACCTACAACAATGTTTATACAATAGATTCTTTAAGAAAAATATTTTGGCCAAAAGCAAGTCAAATTCCTATAGGCATTAACAGCCAGGAAGATAAGTTGAAACCAGTTAAATATAAGTTATTTATTAGAAAAGTTTGATGTAAAGATTGGCAGATATTTAAACAAAACTTACTGATGGTTGACTAGGTGGTGTTGAAATAGAAGGTGGAACTTCTAAAAGTGTAGGCTGAGGGGAGTTTGATTTATTATATGATGAGTAATCACGTGGTTTTGCAGCATACAGGACAGAGTTGCTAGACTTGCCATAGGTCTCATACAGGCCATAACCCGTAAGTCCAGCTACTACTGAGCCTAAAATAAATCCTTTTCTACCTTTGGCCACAAATGAAAACTTGGTAGACAACTGTCTTCTGAGACCTAAAAGTAAAACTTAAAAACTGTTGATCTGTCAAAATATTTTTAATAGAAAATAGAATGACTAGAAATAGGTGATACTAATTAGATCTAGTAGGTCTATTATTAATTGACCCACCTTATTGTACATTGTAGTATTAGACAGTATAGTATTACTATTAGGTTAGGTACTCTAGATCTAGACCTAGTTAGTAGATCTAGATCTAGTAGTTAGTTAAGTGAAATAGTGAAATAATAAGTTAGGTAATACTCTCGCCTACACTACAGTAATACAATTGACTAAGTACTAGAGGTAGATCTAGATCTAGTCTAGATCTAGAAGTCTACTCTCTACTATTCTAATACTCTAACTAATCACTAATCTAACTAGATCTAGCCTTTTTTTCTTTGGGGGGAGGGGGGGGGGGGTGGGACTGGTAAAAGTATATATTTTCTATATAATTTTGTGGGGGGGGGGGGGGGGGGGGGAGACCTTCTTTGGAGGGGCTCCGAAGAGATGCCTGGAAGAAACTCTGGTCTAGTCTAGAAGTCTAGAGTCTAGACTAGATTCCAACCAAGATCTAGATTCTAGATCTAGAATTCTAGATCTAGATCTAGACTTTTAGTAAATAGTAAGTAGTTAGAAGGTAATCTATCGTTTTAGCTTTAGGTACGTAAAATTGCCCGCGACTTGTAATGTGAAAAACAGGTGACTCCTTAAATTTTAATAATTATTTCACATTTTGAGGAGGATTTATGTTTTTTAAAATACAAACTTGTTTCATTTATGTAGATCTACTTGTTTTCAAACAATTGAATTAAAACTTTTCAGTAATAAATGAACACTAGCGATGTTTCCAATAGATGCAACCATGCTCATTTACTATAGCAGCCATCTTGTTAAAGTTTTATTTTTATAGACTTACTAGCCGTCCCGGCCAGGCCCTGCTCTGGCTTCTGTGAAAAACCTTTCTGTTAAAGACCGTTACCTGTGTGTTTAGTAATCATCATAAACCCGGCATTGCCCACCCAAACCACAACCAACCAAAACAACAAAACGCAAACATAAGGCAAACACAATTACAAATACAAACGAAAACAAAAACCTAACAACAAACCCAACCACGATCACAAACACCAATACAAACACAAAGAAAAACAAACAAAAAAGCAAACGAAAACAAAAACCTAACAACAAACCCAACCACAACCACAAACACCAATACGAACACAAAGAAAAAAACAAACGAAAAAGCAAATGAAAACAAACCAAATCCAATCGCAAAACCAACCACAAACACAAACCCAAAGAAAAAACACAAACGAAAAAGCAAACGAAAACAAACCAAATCCAACCACAAATACAAACACAAACCCAAAGAAAAAAACACAAACGAAAACGAAAAAAGAAAGAACAAAAACGAACCAAATCAAAACGCAACCACTAACACAAACCCAACCTAAACACAAAGAAAACACTAACGCGAACATAAACGCAAAGTGCTCACAGTCTAGCCCGGGGCAGAATCGCCTGTTTCAGCTTAATAATCAACTACAGTACCTCAACTTATTCATTGTCTTTTGCACTCACTTAAACGAACGTAGGTGCCAAACCAAACCAAATGAACAATTATAATACTCCAAGCTTATTCGTAAAATACCTACAATATTTGCACTTGATCAATCCCCGCTAATTATGTAATTATTTTTTTCCCAACACCAAAACTAATAAAAAGTAAATTCTTTTCCACTAATGCAATGTTTTATAAAGGGAAGTAATTGTGTTTTCCTAATTTATCAAAGGGAAGTAAGTGCTAAAGGACTAAATATAAATAATTTTCAGACATAATTAGAATTTTTGTTATTTTTTTTAAATTGTGTTTAATGAACATGCCGACAATTATTACTATCAGTTTGAAAAATGAAAATTATTTCCCAACACTTTCAATAGTAATTTTTTAACTCATAAATTTAGACTATGAGCACGATAATAGTCTAACACTTAAATCCATCAAAGTATGTCAACGACAAACAAACTTATTTTACATACAGAATTGAGCTTTATATATTAGATAGCGGGAGATTCAGGGGGAAGTCACTCTATTTTACAAATGGCTGCTGTTTATAAAAAATATAGATCTAGTATATATATTATATTATATAGTATTATATAGCAAATCTTACTTGCAGACACTGCTGTTTAAAGTTAATTTCTGGCCTATAGGCCTATTGATATATTTAATTATATTTACTATATTTAGCCATTGATTTAGTTAGGTTTACTATCCATTTATCTATATTTGACACAAACATATCACAATATAGATCTAGATCTACTTCTATTACAGCCTTTACAATGAGGTAACGTTTTCGTACATTAATAGCCGCGGGCGATTTTACGTACCCAAAACGATAGATTACCAGTTAGAAGTTAGAATAAAAAGAATAAGTTCAATAAGTATTAAGTAGACTTTTAAGAAGGCTACTCTCACCCTTTGTAAAGAAGCAAGGCTTCACTGCACATAAAGTTCGAGTTGACAACATTTTCTATGAGATTAATCTAAAAGCGTAAGCTGTTTGACTTGGCTTCCAGCAGTTTGCCGGTGACTCTGCGTAGCAGTATTATTATATTATGGGTAGATTCTAGATCTAGATAAAATATGCATTGTCATGTTATTTACTTTTGGAAGCATTTTGTGTCAGGGATAGGCTTTATGAACAAATTTGACTTGTTGGAGCACGTGATCGCTTGTAGCTATAAATAAAAAAGAACTTTCACTTCCGGTAATTTTACTATCGTTTTCACCCCAGGGGAGGTGTTTTCCATAAATTATATCACACACCTAGAGGGTGGAGGACAGGCTAGTTTAACGACTTTATTTGACGATGTGTGGAGGCGTGAGGGAAAAGATTTAATGAACGATATATTTTGTCTATTTTCAGAACCAAAAATATTACGCCTGTTAAATTAAATGATATTTTATGAGGGAGTGGGTGGAACTTTGTGACGTCATTTTACTGAATTTTACTCTAGTGTTTCTTCCAGACTTTTTTCTCCGGGGGGTGGGGGGACTTGAAATTTTTTGAGGGGCGGTAGACTTTCTTCGGGGGGCGGACACTGTTAAAAGTATATATTTTCTATATAAATTATATAAATTTCATTTCGTTCGGGGGGGGGGTGGTAAATTTTTTTCGAATCGATGCCTGAAAGAAACTCTGTTTTACGTTATCTTAAGACGTTAAGGGTGGCGAAAGGGGTAATATATGAATAGATTAACATCACAGGGTGTCTATGACCACCGCAACATTCAATTTTATAACAATCGTAAGCAAGACGTCACCATAAGACTGAGGGGTAGCAAGGAATGTTCAGTCCAAACATTAGGCTGGCTGACAATTATCATTGATAAATATCTTTATTTTGAATTGAATTTTACTTTTTTTTTCAATAGCGTTTTTATGCTAGATCTAGATCTTTATTTTTTAATATCAGATTTACTTTAACCATAATAACTAAAATAAACATGGATTTCTATATATTAAGTTTTTTTTATAAGAATTGTCTTGCTAAAACAATATTAATTAATATTATTTTATTCAAATATAATACGCCTTTTTATTTTAATAGATGTTCTGGTTAAATGGCCTCTGAAATAAAAGTGAGAAACAAATTATTCCTTGATTTGTTTAGATTATATATCTTTGCAAAGTTCTGTTATAGAAATTTAGTATATTTAAATATGGGATCCAAGCGTTGTCATCGAAGTTTGAACGAAAATGCTGCATTGGGAGACCGAAGCCCCCCCCCCCCCCCCCCCCCCCCCGAAAAATTCTACCGCCCCCCCCCCTCCGATAGAAAATATATACTTTTAACAGTGTCGCCCCCCCCCCCCCCCCCGAAGAAAGTCTATTGCCCCCCCCCCCCCCCCCCCCCCCCGGAGAAAAAGGTCTGGAAGAAACACTGTTGGGAGAGGGTTAAAACTGAGTTACAGGATTCGCTACAAGCCAACAGACAGACTGAAAAACTATCAGACTGTGGGGTCAAAGTTAAAAGCTTATCAAAAGCACCCCCACACTTCCCAAAACATTTTCTTGCATGTCACGTGATTTTTGTGGCTATAAATAAATAGCTTTCACTTCCGGTATAAACTCCTTTTTAAACAGCTGTTTGTTTTCGTGACGGAAAAGTGGGTCACTGTAACTGTAAATAAATATTAACAACAAAGCCTTTCAATTTTGCAACCTTTCACATTTCAATACCATCATTCGTTGCTTAAGTGGTAATCTATCGTTTTAGGTACGTAAATTTACATGTATTTCGTTTTACTTGCTTTAGGAGATCCAGAATAAACTGCTTCGTTTTTAGACTCAGCTCAGACTGGGCCTAGTGAAGTGGGCCTAAGACCTAGATTCTAAGTCTAAGAATAAGATTTATGATTTAATGGGGATTGGAATGTGAACTTTAACATCTTTACCTCACACACTTTTTTTTAAATTTTGTTATGATAATGCGTCACAATATATCTAGATTCTAGGTCTAAATTTACATCTCATGATTTTCAAAGTATTCTTTTTACTAAGTTAGTGGATCTAGCCTTGGCCTTACTAAATTGGCTACTAAAGTAGTCTAGTAGATTTCTAGTCAAGTAGTAGATCTAGTTGGATTGTAAAATGTTATATAATATGTAGGCCCCCTACTCATCATGTATAATTTTGTATACTATGTTATATGTAGGCCTGCTGTCATAGCAGCTATGTTAATGATGTATGTCCAATGTAGGAAATAATCATCTATAAGCCTATATATTAAAATGGTAGCCTACTAGTTATTACTATATTACTGTACTAGATCTAGAATTTTCTAATATATTATGTAGGCCAATACACTAGGCCTATAAGCATATACTATATATTGTATATGTGTGTATTATAGTATTGTGTATAAGCCAGGGCTTAGGGCCTAAATATTAGTTTATTAAGTTTATTGCCACCTAGATTTCTAGTTCTCTGCCTACTACAGTTCTACTACTAGAAAAAAAATCAACTAGATTTAGATCTAGTCATAGATCTAGTAGTGGGTACAACTAATGTGGGCAAAGTCAGCAAATTGTAATAATACCATTATAAGATTATGTAACCATGAGTTAGCACCTCACCATTTGTATAATCCATCATAAAACTTCTTATCCATTGTTTATGTCACAACCTCATTTTTGTTTGTTTTTGTCAGCAATGCAAGTGTTCCATCATATGTAGTAATTTAATATTTATTGCCAGTTAGGGATGAGATCGAAGAGGAAATAAAACCACTGTTCTATCCTAAAAATATCACACCTACACAAACATTAATCATTAAAACTTTTTTCTAATAATAATGATGTATGAATCTATTTTGTAGTAAACCACAAGACTTATTTTTCAAGACCATGCTTTGGTCAAGTTTTCAAGCATTGGTAGCAGTAGGCTTCGACACCTAATTATAACAATAGTTTAACTGGTTGCAATAGTTTTTATTCTGGTTTTGGGTTTTCTTTTGTCAAGACAAAATGATGCTCCTGTTACTTCTGTTGTGGCTGTAGATATTTAGGTACAGTAATTTGGATTGTCATTTGTATAGCCTTTGAGATGTTTTAGAATAATGTTATTGTATTTTCAACGTTAGAAAATTCTTTAATAAGTCAACAAAACCTTTGTGGCTGTTCATATCATAAAATTAATGCTTTATGTTATACTTTATCTTACTAGGCTATTATAATCATAATAATATTTATACTGGTATAAATAATACACTTAAAGCTCAGGGTAAAAACAAATGAAATTAAACAGTATAGAAATATATCAATAAATAGTATTTCTAAAATTAAATATTGTTGTATTGTTAGCCTTTTGATTCAATATTGAATGTCATTAAATATGTTTTAAGCTGTTTGGTGGGTTGGTTAACAAAGGCCTAATTAACTCTTTTTAAAACTTTTTAAAAAGGAGTAGGCCTAGATGTTGTTAAACATTGCTCCATGGGTGGGGACTTTGAAATATCCAGTGTAGTCCCATAAAACACCTCCATTGGCTGTATTTTTAACTTTGAACACACTTTGAGCATATGCTTAGATTGGTGTTTACTTTACACATATATTTAAAAAGCTACCATTTAAAATTAAGTATTTGTGAACTTAGGTTAGTCTTTAAGCCTATTGAATAAGTTTAGTTAGCATATTTACTTAGTTAACTTGGGCTACTTTATAATGAACTCAGTTTAAGTTTTTAGTCATCTGCCATTAAATACTGCAATTCTAGTGGATTTATTATCAGAGACAAAAATGTACATCAGTTATTACATTAATTAACTTTACTATTTTTTTATATTGCAATGCTTCTATTTTTTACTGATACCAGTTGTTTTGTGTGTGTAACCAAGGCAACAGTACTGATATAAATTCATCTGGACCATCTTTAGTAGAACTGTTTTAAGGTTTTTTTTATTTTATGTGCACTTAGTCAATCTGGTTTTTATGATGGTATGGTTTAGATTATCAAGCTGAGAAGTTATAATCTCCGTGTAAAGTAAATCTGGTTTTTGTAATGCTATGGTTAAAGATTAGGAAGTTCACATGTCCACTAAGTCAATTTTTGTTTTAATGTGATGGTTTTAGATTAGGAAGTTAAAATGTCCAATAAGTTAATTTTGTTTTAATGTTATGGTTTTAGATTAGGAAGTTAAAATGTCCAATAAGTTAATTTTGTTTTAATGTTATGGTTTTAGATTAGGAAGTTAAAATGTCCAATAAGTCAATTTTGTTTTAATGTTATGGTTTTAGATTAGGAAGTTAAAATGTCCAGTTAGTCAATTTTGTTTTAATGTTATGGTTTTAGATTAGGAAGTAAAAATGTCCAGTTAGTCAATTTTGTTTTAATGTTATGGTTTTAGATTAGGAAGTTAAAATGTCCAATTAGTCAATTTTGTTTTAATGTTATGGTTTTAGATTAGGAAGTTAAAATGTCCAATTAGTCAATTTTGTTTTAATGTTATGGTTTTAGATTAGGAAGTAAAAATGTCTAATTAGTCAATTTTGTTTTAATGTTATGGTTTTAGATTAGGAAGTAAAAATGTCTAATTAGTCAATTTTGTTTTAATGTTATGGTTTTAGATTAGGAAGTAAAAATGTCTAATTAGTCAATTTTGTTTTAATGTTATGGTTTTAGATTAGGAAGTTAAAATGTCCAATAAGTTAATTTTGTTTTAATGTTATGGTTTTAGATTAGGAAGTTAAAATGTCCAATAAGTTAATTTTGTTTTAATGTTATGGTTTTAGATTAGGAAGTTAAAATGTCCAATAAGTTAATTTTGTTTTAATGTTATGGTTTTAGATTAGGAAGTTAAAATGTCCAATAAGTTAATTTTGTTTTAATGTTATGGTTTTAGATTAGGAAGTTAAAATGTCTAATTAGTCAATTTTGTTTTAATGTTATGGTTTTAGATTAGGAAGTTAAAATGTCCAATAAGTTAATTTTGTTTTAATGTTATGGTTTTAGATTAGGAAGTTAAAATGTCCAATAAGTTAATTTTGTTTTAATGTTATGGTTTTAGATTAGGAAGTTAAAATGTCCAATTAGTCAATTTTGTTTTAATGTTATGGTTTTAGATTAGGAAGTAAAAATGTCTAATTAGTCAATTTTGTTTTAATGTTATGGTTTTAGATTAGGAAGTAAAAATGTCTAATTAGTCAATTTTGTTTTAATGTTATGGTTTTAGATTAGGAAGTAAAAATGTCTAATTAGTCAATTTTGTTTTAATGTTATGGTTTTAGATTAGGAAGTTAAAATGTCCAATAAGTTAATTTTGTTTTAATGTTATGGTTTTAGATTAGGAAGTTAAAATGTCCAATAAGTTAATTTTGTTTTAATGTTATGGTTTTAGATTAGGAAGTTAAAATGTCCAATAAGTTAATTTTGTTTTAATGTTATGGTTTTAGATTAGGAAGTTAAAATGTCCAATAAGTTAATTTTGTTTTAATGTTATGGTTTTAGATTAGGAAGTTAAAATGTCTAATTAGTCAATTTTGTTTTAATGTTATGGTTTTAGATTAGGAAGTTAAAATGTCCAATAAGTTAATTTTGTTTTAATGTTATGGTTTTAGATTAGGAAGTTAAAATGTCCAATAAGTTAATTTTGTTTTAATGTTATGGTTTTAGATTAGGAAGTTAAAATGTCCAATAAGTTAATTTTGTTTTAATGTTATGGTTTTAGATTAAGAAGTTAAAATGTCTACTTAGTTAATTTTTGTTTTAATGTTATGGTTTTAGATTAGGAAGTTAAAATGTCCAATTAGTCAATTTTGTTTTAATGTTATGGTTTTAGATTAGGAAGTTAAAATGTCCACTGGTGAACCTGTAGACTCAACTGTGATGGCCAATGGACATGGAAGTAACGGCATGTTTCAGAACCTGAAAGTTTTTAAACGGGATCCACAGCACAGGTAGCTTGACTTGCTTCAAACTTTCTTACAACTTCTTTAAAACGTTTTGAATTTTTTAAATTGTTACTTTTTTAACCAAACCAACATCTATTAATTGACCTCAGTCAACTGTGGCCCTAAAGTTTCATTTTTTTTTTGTAATTGTTTCTTTTCAAGAATTTTTGTCAACCGTGGTTTGCACCTGGATAAAATAAAATTCTATGGCTTTGATATGGACTATACACTTGCAGGTATTTTTTTTTTAATTGGAAGTGAATGATAAGAATTTGAACTAATAGTTATTTTGAAAAAAATCATGTTTTGAGCAAGTTATAGGAATCTTAAACTAATCATAATATTTTGAACAAATGTTAGGTATATATTTGAACAAATGGCTGGTATTTTGAACAAATAATGGGTATTTTAAACAAATGGCTGCTATATTGAACAAATGATAGACATTTTAAAGAAATGGAAAGTATTTTAAAGTGTTAGATTCTTGTCAGTTAGGTTGCCTTTGGAAAAAGGTTTATCTAAAATCTGACACCTAATGAGTATTAAAGTTAAAGTCACATTATTTTATAAAAGCCCATTTATATAACTTGAAGCTATCAAATGCTTTGATATGTCTATTGTTATTATATTTATTCGCTTGTCAAAAGTCATGTTATTTTAGTTACTGTTATTCCACTTAACTGAGCTATTTTATTTTATAGTTTACAAGTCACCAGTTTACGAAGCCATGGGCTTTAACCTCCTCAAAACAAGACTTATAGACATTGGGTATCCTCAAGAAATTGATCAGTTTGAATATGATCCATCATTTCCTGTAAGGTGAGTTACTGGCTTCTCTTCCAGTTCTTTATGTATTGAGCTCAGGGTCCCTTGAGAATCTTTGAGTTCATAATTGATATGATAACCTTTTTTCGTTGTTCCAGTTGCAGTTTAGAGCAGGATGGGTAGTTTGAGCCCAGAGATCCTTGTGTTTATAATGCTATCCAGCTCATGAGGGGCAGGTGACCTTAAGCGTGAATGTTCACTTGGTACATACATTACTTCATCAATATGTAACCATGAGCATAGCACATTTGACTTTCCTAGGGAAAAGTAAAATTTATATTGCTTTTGACAATGTTTTTTTAACACATCACTTAGGATATCTTTTATCTAAAGTTAAAAAAATATATTTTGATGTTATTAGGTCAACATTTTAAATATCTGTGTAGAATTTCAAATCAGATTTTTTTTCATCTACTATGTACAATTTAAAAAGATGTCCCCTTAATTTTTTTGTGTTTGGGTTTCTCAAGCAGTAGTCATCCCAGTTGATACAATCTTTTGTTATAATTTTTCCTTAATTTCAACTAATACTAGCTGATAATCTTAACTCTAATCCTAAACTGAAATAACTTATTTCTTATGTATTTCTATACTAGCTATTAAGAAAAAATAGAAATTCGCTTGCCAAGTTTGAAATACAATATAAATAGTGTAATTTTTAGCACATCAATGAGAAAATGTCTAGTAAATAAAATATCTGTTAATGTAACAAAGGGAAATTGGGTGTATAACATGGCAATTCTATAACAAAAGAGTACTCAGTCTTTACCAAATTAATACTGGTTCTATGGTTTATGAGTGTCCACCTGTTATGTAGGGCTTCGCAAGCACACAGAAATCCTCACTAACATAAGTCAGTCAATCCCAAGTATTCCGGCTAGGGAAAAATAATTCATAATATTTGCTACATAACACTTCCCATGTATAATCAGCATTTGCTATAGAACATATCATATTTTTTACATTGCACAAATAAATCAAGCCGCAAAATATTTTCTCTTTGCTAGTGCTGAAGTACAACAATAATTAAAACACTCTTCATATAATCACTACTGTAGTACCATACAAAATTTTTAAATCCTCCTACTACTGTAGTACTATACAAAATTTTAAAATCCTCCTACTACTGAAGTACCATACACAATTTTAAAATCCTCCTACTACTGAAGTACCATACACAATTTTAAAATCCTCCTACTACTGAAGTACCATACACAATTTTAAAATCCTCCTACTACTGAAGTACCATACACAATTTTAAATTCCTCCTACTACTGTAGTACCATACACAATTTTAAAATCCTCCTACTACTGAAGTACCATACACAATTTTAAAATCCTCCTACTACTGAAGTACCATACACAATTTTAAAATCCTCCTACTACTGAAGTACCATACACAATTTTAAAATCCTCCTACTACTGTAGTACCATACACAATTTTAAAATCCTCCTACTACTGTAGTACCAGAAGAACTAAAATCTCCTTCTAGAGAGTTAGTGTTGTAGCTCCAAAAATTGTTTCCCAAGAGGGAAGAGTCTGGACTAAATTTCCTACCCAAGGCTTCATAAAATTTGACACATACTATATGAGAGGTCATGGGGTAGAATAGAGGGATGTGTGTGTTTCATACATTTTCAACTTTTTCAAAGCTGCTAGAATCCATCTGCTTGGCTAAAATACAAGTACAAATGCTTTTACAATTTTATTGTTACTTAAAAAATCCACATGATGATGGGAAAGTAATGTCTCAACACTTAGTTCAAACTGACACTTTATGCAATTTTTAAACTGAGACAGTTTTAGCGCTAAAACATTGAATAGTTTAGTGCTATTAACCAACTAACTATTAAAGTACAGCTAGTGTTTAAGGATAACTTATTTTTAATACACTTTTAATGCACTTCTTTACATATAGTTTTTTCAAAAGCAACTCTTTTCATGCATTAATCTGCTTTTAATTTATATTTAATAAGTGAAATATCAATATGAGGTTTTATAAATAAATTAGCTGGTGCAACAGCAGAGGTAAATATAATAAGATTATACCACACATATATACACCTACATACAACGGGGTATTTCCATTTGATCTGTTTGATTTTGTTGTGGCCATAGGAAGTAAATTACGATAAATTTTATATAAGTTTATAATTTCCCTAGTTATTGCTAGCCTGTGTGTTAGGTATTGTTCCTGTTTTATTTCAGGGGATTGTGGTTTGATAAAACATATGGAAACTTGTTGAAAGTCGACTCACATGGCAACATTTTGGTTTGTGTTCATGGGTTCCAGTTCCTTAAACCGTACGTTTTTACTTGTATATTTTATTTCTCATTTAAGTATGTGCCGTAAAATTTTAAAGAGAAAAAGTAAAGTGATTAGTTAGTTGACAATGTGAAGGTGTGGTACTTTTAATTACTAACTAAGCCTTTTCACCTGACCATAATTCTATTGATCAAAAAACTTGCTATTTATTTGTACCACTAAATTTGGACTTGATCTAATGATGTATTGAGGTTGGTATGTTTAGATATGTTGAGGTGATATTTACTTTTTCTTGCAGTCATGAAGTGTCAGAGCTGTACCCTAATAAATATATACAACTAGATGACAACAGGCTCTATGTCCTCAATACTCTCTTCAACATCCCAGGTTAGTTTCCTCTCTAGATTTTCATTACTGATACATTCTTTTCATTAGTGTTACATTCCTCTCATTACTGCTATATTCCTTTCATTACTGCTACATTCCTTTCATTATTGATACATTCCTTTCATTACTGATACATTCCTTTCATTACTGATACATTCCTTTCATTACTGATACATTCCTTTCATTACTGATACATTCATTTCATTACTGATACATTCCTTTCATTACTGATACATTCCTTTCATTACTGATTCATTCCATTTATTATTACTACATGTATTTGCTTGGCAAATGTTTGTCCACTCTACCTGCTTATTTGTTTTTAATGTCTTTCAGAGAATTGCAAAATTTCTTTTTTCACAATGATTACCAATATTTAATCAGTGCAGCATAGTTAATTTACTTTACTCATCTTGTGTATCCCCAACTGTTTAATAAAGTTTCTGTGCTGGTTTGTAAAATCAGTTTTTTGTTTCTTTTTGTAGAGACTTACATGCTGGCTTGTATCATCAACTTTTTTGTTTCTTTTTGTAGAGACTTAAATGCTGGCTTGTATCATCAACTTTTTTGTTTCTTTTTGTAGAGACTTACATGCTGGCTTGTATCATCAACTTTTTTGTTTCTTTTTGTAGAGACTTAAATGCTGGCTTGTATCTTCAACTTTTTTGTTTCTTTTTGTAGAGACTTACATGCTGGCTTGTATCATCAGTTTTTTTGTTTCTTTTTGTAGAGACTTACATGCTGGCTTGTATCATCAACTTTTTTGCCAGCAATAAACAATATACCAAGTAAGTTTTTCATCCAAGACATGAGAACCTCTATTATTTGTTTCAGTAGCCAAAAAACTATAAGTCTCTTCAATGTTTCTTTAAATATTTAAAATATTTAAAATGTATTGTCTTGTTTATTTTGAAAATTATCACTACAGTAGCCCAGTTTAGCTCTAGTCAAACATAAAGAAAAAAACTAAAATTTATAGGTTTATCAAATTATTATATTCTTGGACCATAAAATGTAATAAAAAGTATTTAATGATTCTAATATTCATTTTTAAAACCAGAACTAAAACAGGAGTCACTTATGGAAATGTCCACATGTCTTATAAATCAATTTTTCAAGATGTCCGCGGTGCCTTGGACTGGTTACACAATCATGTGAGTCGAGACTTTTTCATTTGATCATAAATATTATTTAGCCATCTTAGTGTTCTGTGGTAGGGCTATATATATCAAAACTTCCTCTGGTCATAATCTTAGTCATACTTACTTGAACAAACTCAAATGGATTGTTTTATGGCCCTATGTGATAACCTTTCTTAAAAAACAATATAAGTAAATTATATAGTATTTTAATCTACAGCACAATTTCAGCAATAAAAATTTTAAAAATAAAAAATCTACCTATTTGAATAAAATTATTGTATTATTAGAAAAATTAATTTTCACTAAAACAACTGTACATGTAAGTACTCCTCATAAGATTGTAAATAATATACATATATACATTTCTGAAAGAGCACTGTTATACTTGTTTTATATATATATATATATATATATATATATATATATATATATATATATATATTTGTATTATGGTAAGTCTTAAATAGAATTTTTATTTAATAAAATCTTGTGTCTTATTAGGGTGATTTGAAAGCTTGTACCATGGCCAATCTGGACAAATATGTCCATAAGGATGAGAGACTCCCTATTTTGCTAGACAGGTAATAGATATGGCATAAGGAAAACTTATTATGCTAGACAGGTAATAAATATGGCATTAGGAACTTATTTTGTTAGACAGGTAATAGATATGGCATAAGGACAACCTATTTTGCTAGACAGGTAAACAAAAAAATAATATTGACTTGGCCTAACACAGCCCTAGAAAAAGACAACAACCAACTTTTGAGGGGCATAAGTCAGACTTACAAAGTTACACCAATACAAAAAAAAGCTTTTTTTTTCAGTCTTCTCATTGACATGTCAGTCTTTTGTCAGTCTGCACAAGGGCATGTCGGCCCAAGTCATATATACTAGTAAAACTACTCCAGCAAAAAGCAAGGCGCCACATTGTTAAACTGTTGTTTTCCAGAATTCGTCACATTGGAGCTAAAGCTGTACTGATCACAAACAGTGGCTATGAATACACTAATGTGAGTTCGTGATTAATTTCATTCTTGTACACAATAAATGAAAACTTTTATTTTAGCTTATGAATATTTTTATGAAGATATATATTTTGTTAGTTATCTAACTACGTTTTTACCCTATTACAGAGAATTATGACCTATCTCTTAGATTATCCTAAAGTAAGTTTTTTTTTAATATAATATCAAAATTTTATTTTAAATCTTACAAATGAGTTTAAGTAAAATTTAGCTGTTAAAATAATGTAAAAAATAATGTTGCTATTGTTAATGAACTGTTGCCTGCCATCTTGATGTAGAATGGTGGTGTAAAAAATAATGTTGCTATTGTTAATGAAATGTTGCCTGCCATCTTGATGTAGAATGGTGGTGTAAAAAATAATGTTGCTATTGTTAATGAACTGTTGCCTGCCATCTTGATGTAGAATGGTGGTCGTCACTGGACATCCTACTGGGACTGTGTTGTGGTTGATGCCATGAAACCCTTGTTTTTTGAAGATGGAACCATCTTAAGAAGGGTGGACACTGTAAGTTTTGTTTCGTTGTTCCTGGTTGATGCAGTTTTTATTTCTGCTAAAGGGTCATCCATATATGATATCTTATTATTTGTACCAATTTTCTTACACCCATGACCTATCAATCATCACAAATAGCCAGACACCCCCTTTGTGTAATAATGTCACAAAATTCCAAACCCCTCATTTCAACAATCAGTTTATATTTTTACAACCTTTCTCTTCCCCCCCCCCCCCCCCCATCCTCAACAACTTATGAAGAACACCCCCTCCCATCCGTGATATCATTTATGGATGATGATACCTAACAAGCGTTAAAAGTTAAATAGTTAATCTTCAAATATGAGCGTTTACTCCATGCTTTTAAAACATTTTAAGATTTTACTAATATACTATTTAGTGTTAAGTCTTTAGTGTATAGCTATAAGTTTTTAATGTCAGATGAAAAAATTTGATTCAGTTTTCAAGGTAAGATTTTTAAAATCTAGAACTGGTGCCTATAATTACACATCCCTGATTTGATGTGAAATTTTTAAAATTGAGTGCTAGACTTGAGTTTCACAAAAAGTAGAATTAAATGTCCTTGATTACAGTTTTTTTAATACTAATAACAGTTATGCTTTAACGATAATTTTGATGAAGTTCCTATTTGTTGGTGTGTTTTTATCCCATAGCATTTTTTTGCCTGTCTCCCTGCAAAATTGAACACCTGTGTAGACCAGACAGGTACCAGAAGTTCCTGCACTTGTGGTTTTGTTGCCCTTCAATTCCCTCCCCCTTTCTTACCCCCCTTTTATTTACATCCTTTAGAGCTAGAGCTTTACACACAATTTTGTTTGTTACTAAATTTATGGAACACAAGCTTATTACTTCTAAAACATAAACCTCATTAGTTAATTAATATTACTCACTTTGTCCAATGGGTCTAGTTGATAATGGAGTAGCTAGGCAGAAAAAAGTTTTACTCAATAACTACTTTAAAGGAATTAAAAATATAAACTAGTATGGTTGCAAAGTTTTAGAGGATTAAAAATAGAATAATAAAAATATAGATCTAACACCACAAACATTTGTAAAATATTGTAGACTTATAGCTATTCAAATGCTTCTATTTTTTATCTTACACCTTTTAACATCAAGGCAAATACAAAGTATTACCAGATGTTCAAATTAGGCCTTTTTAAAAATTCGCAATTTGCTCTTTTTTATGTAGATTTTATTTTGAACTCTAAATGCTAAAATAGACCACATGAAATCAAAATGAAATTGAAATCAGTTTTTTAAGTTGTTATGAATTAACCAAATCATTATCTTAGACTAACTTAGACTTTTCCCACTGCTTTTAATCACTATTTTATTTTGAACTTAACAAATCACTGTAATGTTTGGTAAAATACAGTTAACTATTCTGTAAGTAACAGCTCAAACTTTTATTTACACTTTATTCTACCTCATAAATAAGTAGGTCTATAGCATCTTTTTTTGTTTTTGTTGAAAAGATTTAAACCCCTTTTTGTAAACCCAAATAGTTAAATGATTTATCGCTTTCTTAATAGACGTAATTTACTAGCCTGAGCTTAAAAGTATAATTCAGTTAGCTTTAACAGATTCCATTTAGATGGGGTTTTTTTTTACACCTGATTGTTGTTCTTTTCCTGTTAAACAAGCTTGAATAGTTTAAAACTGCTATGTCTGATATACAAATAAATTGCATTTAAAAATGTATTATGGCATTATGACAGGCATGTTATAAAAAGCAATTAATTTTTGCTAAGACTTGTATAGTGGGTAGACAGCTGTTACATATCTTTTCCTTGTCCTGACCTCTTCAAACACTTAGCTCCAAAAAAAAAGAATTAGATGGGTGGTGTAGAGTAGGCTGTTTGCGTTTACTAATGAAAACATTTTATAAAACCCAAAAACTTGTATGGGCAACAAAATTACATATTGAGATTTTTTTTTTTTTTTTTTATTGATTTCTATGGTAGAACTTTTTCATTTTATTTTTAGACAACTGGTGCTCTGAGCCTTGGTCATCACTTAGGACCAATCAAAAGTGGAGAAATCTATTCAGGAGGCAAGTAATAATTTGTATTGTACATTTGTGTGGGCTGAACTCAATTTTCTAATCTCTTAATGACAGGTTATTCAAATAAGGAAAAAAGATGTAGATGATAATTAATGAGATGTATGTTTGTTAAAGTTTGCTTAATAGATAATCAAATTTCTTAAATAATCTAATTTTTAAAATTAAATGAAACATTTTCTCACTGATAATTACGCTGTTCATTAAAAGTTGTAAAATGTTTCTTAAAATATTATAGCACAATATCTGTAGTATAAAGGTGTACACATGTTTCAGGATCCTGTGAAGTGATCTCACACCTAATGGGGGCTAAAGGCAGTGATGTTCTCTATGTGGGAGACCACATTTTTGGTGACATTCTCAAGTCGAAGAAAATCCGAGGCTGGCGCACATTTCTGATCATCCCTGAGCTGACAACAGAGCTGCAAGTCTGGACTGACAAGAAACAGCTCTTTGACAACTTGACCAAGATTGAAATAGCTCTATCAGATATTTATAGGTAACTGCAAAATAAGTATTTTAAAATTCAACTATAAGTGTAAGTATGTATGGCTCCATTGCCTAGTATACCATTGAATGCTTATGCATTATGAAATCCAAGCACAAAGCCTGGGAGGTAAGATGAGAAGAGCCAGATGTTTCCCACAATGCCCAGATGTTGTATATATACATGAAGAACTTATTTAAAACTAGCTTTTTTTTTTCAATCTTAATGTTTATTTTCAAATTTTAATTGAATACATAAATGACTTCTCTGTTTACTTCACCAGGCATTTAGATAGCAGCACTTCTGAGAGACCAGATACCTCCCAGATAAACCATAACCTAAGGGTAACTCAATATTAATTATCTTTGTTTTCATCGTTATTCATTTACACATAATTAATTAGTGGTTTAAAGTTTGATGACAATAATAGACATTAAAACACCCAGTTTTGTCTGGGGACTTATTTAGACATTAAAACAAAATAGATTTCACCTTTTTTGTTTTATATTTAGGCTGTCATTCATGAGTTGGATATGTCCTATGGAATGTTGGGAAGCCTTTTTAGGAGTGGTAGGTTTTGTAGAATATTTACTTTGGTAGGGATGAACTTGTTTTAAAACAGCCACTAAAACTTTATTTTTGTAATAAAAAATAACAATTTACAAGTTAAGTCAATATTACATAAAACTGACCATACATTTTTGCAAAACTTGTTTTGATTCACAGGCTCAAGGCAGACATTCTTTGCTTCCCAAGTACGCAGATATGCAGACATCTATGCAGCGTCTATCCTCAACCTTCTGCATTATCCCTTCTGCTACATGTTCAGGGCACCTGCTATGCTGGTGAGTAACACAGGTTCAAACATGTAATCAGGGTGCTCTCCCCTTTACTTACCATTGTCGGGCAAAATTTGAAACTCTTTGCTACATTTTTGAGACACAACCTCACCACACTCAACCTAAACAGGAAAAATAGAATTTATAAAAATCAATTTGGAAATTGTAATAGAAATTGATCAATACATCTAATCTTGACCAAATTGAAGTGTAGTGTCTTATTTTTTTTTTACAATCAGTGATGATAGAGAGTTGGGGGAAAAAATTATGAAAATAAGCATGACATCATTTATAGATAACATTGTATAATACAAATTATATTTATAATTAATACACAAATGTTGAGAAGATAATGTATGCCATATTTTGATGATAGATGCCACATGAAGCAACAGTCGACCATTATTCACACCATGAGCTTGAACCTCAAGTCATTGTGAATCGCAGCCGATCATCAACTGACGCTGGTTTTGAAATCCAAACACCAAAGCGAACAAGAGATGTAGTGACTAATCATCAACAGCAGTGGGCGGAGCCACCTCGCAAAGTGGTGCACATCCACGATGACGGTGACTCAGATGAAGACCTTTCTGAGAGCCCTAAAAGTGTCACCAACGCCAGCCCAAACGCTGATGAGAAGGAGCAACCAGTTCTTGAAGTCTAAACCCAGTCAGACAATTGGGCATTGGCGTGAAGTTTCCAAAGATGATTGAAAACTTATTTCAACAATTATAGCTTGGTACTTTTACCTACAATAGAAAAGTTGTAACCGATACCAAGCAAATTATGTAGTACCGAAACTTAAGGTTTGATAAGTAACCACATTTTTAACTGTACATATATAAACTGTGTTTGCTAATGAGTAATAGAGTTAGATTAATCATCTGCCTTGTAATAATATTTTTATAAAAATATTTGGAGTGTCCTAAAGATACATTTTTAGATGATAATTTATGTATTGATGTTTTTAAACAAATGCAAACCACCATGATACATTTATAAAAAAAAACATAATCAACTTTTTCAATGGTTTACCCTTCCAGTAATTATAGAGCAATAATTCGGAATTCAATCTTTAAATAAATTTAAATAAGCAGTGTAATGAAAGAATAAGAAATTAGCTTATTCATGATGTGAATTAAGTTCAGTTTGATATTTTATAATTGAAGCTATACTAAATCTGCTGATAAAAAAGTTTTCCAGATTCACTCAAATGTATTCAATTATAAATTTTCATTTTAAATAATGTAACATCGCATTGAAGCTTATTGACAATGGCATTATTATAAATATTCAGATTAAATCCAAGTAGTTACTGTTGTTAATACTATTAGCATCACTGGATATTAGTTGTTGCAATTAAAAGAAAACTGCTTTATAGAGCTCATCTCTAGTGCTGAGTTCCACATTTTTATTGCAATGTTTGTTACATTTTATTCTGCTTGTTTGGTTATGGAAATCTTTTAACTTTTGGTTACTTTTATCAGTTAGTGGTGTTTTTATTTCATATTTATTACTATTTTATTTCATAAAATCATAAAATTAATGGGCATTTTTTGGGAAAGAATTGAAATAATATATTGTTTTCTAGTCCTCACGATATGTTTATTGCACTTTGAGCTTTGTATAAGATGTTTTTTGTTAAAACACCCTGCATTTTTTTATTCTACTACTTATACCAATAGCCTTTTACCTGCCCAGTTTTTTCCTCTCTCAAGGATCTGAATACGTGGCATTTTGTGCTTTATCAACCAGCAAAAGGATCTTACAGATAAACATTTTATCTTTACATGGTTTGGCATTGGATTTTATGTTGTATTATATTTACTTTTAACTGGTAGTTAAAGTGACAGGAGATTTATTTTGTTATTATTAAACTGTCAAGTTGATTAATTAAATTATTTTAGTTCGGTGATTTTTTAACTGGTTTTCTTTTTCTACATTTTAGTTTTTAAACAGATCAACAACAAAAAATGTATTTAAATTTAATTAAAACTTGATTGCCATAAAAATTTGAAAAAATAAATTTATTAAAAAGTTTTTGGACAAGAAGCCTACTAGTACTATTGTCAAATGAGAGAATTTTTTAAATTTTTATTTTAAAGCCTAAGCAATAATATTTTCCTTTCATGTTTTCTCAAAGAATTTTTATTTATCAAAAGTGAATGATAACGAGAATGATAATACAGCCAAGATTATATTATTTATTGCCAATTGATAATAAGCATAATTTTAGATTTTTGCACCTTTTACAATCCACAAATATTACCTTGTGGCCAAAGTATTTATTGAATTCCCACTGAATATTTTAACTTTCTTGTGATTTTTTTTTTCTTTTGACTTTTTTCTTTGACTTTTTTTTAACTTAGCTGGCATTCAACGATTTTCATGCTGAACGCTTGTGTGTATTTCATTTTGTTTTGCAGAGATAAACAAATAATTCTTACAGTGATAAAATTTAAATCTTTACTGATGTTCAGATTATTTTTTAAAACAAGTTTTTCTTAACAACTTAATCAAATGTAGTCACATTTTTATATCACCTACTTTCCGTTGAGCATTTAGTACTTGCACCCATTAACCTACTGGTGGTAAATTTTGTTTGTTATTTGTTTCATACTTTTAATTTGCTTTGACAGTTTTTAAACTTGTTTTGAATAAAAATTACCACAGGGTCTCTTATTGTCTCACCCTGTACTTAATAAAAATGTAGATAGTTTGTACTTTGTTTTTTATCAACCTTGATATAAAAGTAAATAACACAATTCATTGTGGAATGTGTGTTGTTTGAGTGTTGTGTTGGCCCATGATTAATCTGCTTTTATATGTTAATCTCATATTTATTTGTACGACAGTCTAATAATCAGAGTGTTTATTTAAATTTAAAAATGTTTATGAGTTATATGTTTTGAAGTTTTAATCCTCAAGCATAATACGAGTGTCAAGTCAGTTTACATTTTTTAAGGCTCTTCCTAAATGTATAACCATATATTACCATGAATCTGAGTGCTAAATCAAACAGAAAACTGCGAGTTATAACTTTTTTTATTTCTGAAAAGAAAAAGTAAAATGATAATCGTGTTGCTGCTCTGTTTAAGACTTGAAAATCAATATTTTTTATTTTTAACAGTTAAGTTTACAGAATAAAAGATGATCTTGTGATTTCTCAAATTTTTTGTGATATTTTATTTGGTGAATATTTTTTCTGCATTACTCTACAGTCTTTGGTTTTACAGTTGTGCAATCCAGTTAACAAATTTTGTTTCCAAATATAAATTTATGTTTTGTACTTTTTTCTCTCTCTCTCTCTCTCTCTCTCTCTCTCGCTGAATTAACCTACAATTAACCTATTAACTTACAAATCATTCATTAATATGTCTGCCCAACATATTCGGAAGCTCTTTCTATTTAAAAATTATGCTTACTTGAGAAACTAGCAATAACATGAAAAACAAAATATTGCATTTAATTAATAATATCTTACAAGATAACAAAAATGTATTAAGTCAAAAGTTATGATTCATTCTAAAGTTATTTAACTAGATCTACCTCATTGTTTTGTGATTTTTAAGTCATGTAGAAGAAAAATCACTGTAGAGCTATTAAAATTTCATGACATAACAAACAGATTTATTTAGGAATTAACAAGAAGACAGAAAAAAATTTATTTAAAGACAATAGGCCTATATTGTTATTTTTAATACAAGTATTACTTTGATATAATAAAAGTGAGCCACTCTATGTACTTGATAAAACTTTCCTTAATTATTTTACTTTTTCTTTTGAAATGAATCTTTGATTGAAAAAAAACAAAAATAGTGTAATGGAGAATCAGAAAAAAAATCTTTATTGTCACTAATAACTAGACTACCCCCCTCCCACTGATGTCTTAATATACCCAATTTAAGTTTTAACCTCTATCATTTGCAAGACTTTGCCACTGTAGTTTACATATGTTGCACATTTCCCCTACATGATTGGTTGATATAAGCAAATATTTGAAAATATTTGTCATTCAACTGTGTATATTGAGTGCAGATGTTAAAACTAATTAATTTGTTTTAGAAGGCAGTTTTGATTGAGAACAAAACAAGAAAAAATATATTTTAATAAGAAGCTGGTTTATTTTTTAATCAATTTTTTTTGCAAAATGTTTAGATAAAATAATTCAGAAACATCATATTTTTGTACTTATTTTAATTGGTTTTAATTCACTTCTTTATTGAATATGTCTAGCAACAATGGCTTAAATTGAAACAGTATGATTTATGGCTTGTTAACAACTTTTCTTACTGTGTAACATCTCATAAGGGAAATAACTCTGCTTCATTAAAAGATAAGTCCAACAATAAATTCTTTTAATGTGAACATTTTAAATACTATTAGTGTTGTTTGTAGGGAAATCCTCCATCTTATAGATGCATATCAATCTCACTTTTTATGCAATTTGTGTAGAGCATTGTTTTAACACCACAATATTGTTTTTAGTATCTCTAACTAAGCTCCATTTGTACAATTTTTTGTACAGTAGTATTTTCAAATGATTGGTCAAACCATGTATAGAAATAATGATCATCAATAAACAGCTATTTACCTGCTTGTTTTGTTTTATCAAACATTATTTCCTTGATTGTTTTTTCATAATATTGAAAAGAATGTTTTTTTTAAAAATTGTCTTTCCTTGGAAAATGTAAAAAAAAAAACTACTGAAAATCCTGTAGATTAGTGATGCAAAACAATAAAAACTAGTGAAAGGATGTAGATTTTTGGTAGGTAAACAGAACCATTTGCTGTGGAGAACATGACTTGTTATTTTCAGTGAATAGAAAATTATTTTGAAACTATCTAGTGAATTAATTGAAATGTTATCAAATCTATACTAATGCTTATATTTTAAAAAAAAACAAAGAATGTTAAATAAACAAGTATGATGTTGGGAGAAGTATAAAACTATTTTTGTTACTTTCCATTGTGCTGTGGAGGGGAATATTTTTTTTTAATTAAAGAACTATTTTAATTTTTTATTAGGTTAATATTTTTAAATTAGTAATACAATGAGTTGAATGTCATGTTTGTTCTAAAAATACAATAGAACATAGAACTATGGTGTGCTAATAAAGCTTCACAAATCATAATTCTGATTCAAGCTCTAACCCTTATTTCCTACCAACACCAGCTTTTTTCAGCCAGCACACAATTTTATTGCATGTAGGGTAAGGAAGGAGTGGAATATCTCTGCAGCAAGACTTGGTACAGCTGAAAGAGTTGCAGACATTTTTATGAGCACAGAGTGCAGTTCCAACCTGGATTGTAACTCACAAACCATTAGCACCAACTTTCAGCAGAGAGCTCTAAATTTCCAGAGCCACATATTGGCAAGCAGCCGTCACTGTACCTGCTACTAACATTTAGCCTGTTTAAATCCCACACTAAACAACAATGTAAAAAAAAAAACATCTGATTTATTGACACGATATTTTTATTTTCTGTTCACAATATCAAAATGTTCATCATTAAATGCTGCATAAAAACAAATGTAAAATTAATCTTTATACAAATCATTCTCACACAAACTTATGTACATCAATTGTGCAGATATTAACTGCACTTGCAGGGTGAGTAGGTTTTAACACTCATCATGGTAGAGCAGATCAAGGTAATAGCTACAACAGAGAAACATGACATAGAGCAAGCTGCCTAAACAAATATCACAACAATTTCACAAATATTGGAAGAACTAAGAAATCATCACCCACAACACTAGTTCATGATCTGGCTAGATAGAAGAGTGAGAAGAGGATTTAACAAGTACAGATAAGGAAACAGAAAAGATTTAACAAGAACAGATAAGGAAACAGAAAAGATTTAACAAGTACAGATAAGGGAACAGAAAAGATTTAACAAGTACAGATAAGGGAACAGAAAAGATTTAACAAGTACAGATAAGGGAACAGAAAAGATTTGACAAGTACAGATAAGGGAACAGGAAACATTTAACAAGTACAGATAGGGGAACAGAAAAGATTTAACAAGTACAGATAAGGGAACAGAAAAGATTTTATATAAGGGAACAGAAAAGATTTAACAAGTACAGATAAGGGAACAGAAAAGATTTAACAAGTACAGATAAGGGAACAGAAAAGATTTAACAAGTACAGATAAGGGAACAGAAAAGATTTAACAAGTAATGATAGGGGAACAGAAAAGATAACAAGTACAAGAACTGACATGAAAACAGTAAGGAACAAAAGGAAGACAAGCAGAGTGGATAGATCAGTGGCTCTTAACCAGGGGTTCAGTCAGCCTCAGGGCTTTGACAGAGGTCAAGACTCATATGATTAAAATGATTCACAATCAGATTTTGTCAGTGCAGACAACAGAACTATTAAGAGGGTACGGTAAATGCGCATATGGTGGTGTTCAGCACCCCCAAAAAGGTTGAGAACCACTGGGATAGATAGACAAAAGTAATCAGGTGAACTTAGGACTAGAGCAGCTTAATAGTAATTAGAGTGATATTAGAAAAACAAAAAAAAACAACCGAAAAAAATCATTGCACACAATATCAGTTTAAATTTCATGGAATGGCTCAGGGCTAATGGTTTAAATACTTCTTACTTTTGTCATAGAGTCAACCAAAAATTATAAAGAACATTTTGAGAAATGACTTTTATAAATGTGCTTTCCTCTAAATAACTGTGTAATTACAGCTAAATCTGTGTGACAAAGCAAATGAAACAGGCAAGTCTAAAAATTACATCGGACATACATAAAAATAAATACATAGCACTCTATTGTACAATATTAACATGGGCTAACCACAGCAATGTTTTAAAAAGTATAGACCTGTAAACCAAACCGGCATATATTATGAAATAAGTCTATCATTAACAACCTGAATATGCTGGCGCATATTAGCTGCTCTCATCTGAAAGCCGAGATTTTTTTTTTTATTTCTCAGCTTCAGACTGTGACAGTTTACAAAGAGGTATTATGTTATCGCCAGGCATTGGAGTTTAATTTCAGATCACCAGTTCAAATGAGACTTTTAATACTTTTACATCTGTACATACAAAATCTTGATCAGAATTTCTCTAACGTGTCATTAATTCAAATGTATTGTGACACAAAAGATTTAAGTATAACACTGTAAAATATATCATTCAAATAAATTCAATTTGAGATCTAGAATTTAAAGTTTAGAAAGGAATAAAACTAGTATTACATATCTCCAGTTTTAAGCCATTAAACCAGACTTTGAGATCTCACTACATGAACATTTCTCAGATATACTGAATGAGTGGGGTGAGGGGAGGAGGGCTGTGAAAGAAATCAAGAGCAAACTTACGATTTACATTCACTAACCAAATTATTGTGACAGTAGGTAGTAGTAAAAAAAAATCACTTGGTCAGATAATTATGAGAATCAATTAGAAGTTTATGATAAAATAATGCATAAAATACTGACTGAAAATTAATTTTTTTAAACTGAGTTAAATACAGCTATTAGTACAATTCTCATTAACTTATATGAAACATATAAGATTTTCCCAATAATAAATTTCACTACATGAAACTCTGATATGCATTGTTCACAGCACTAGTGTTTAAATCAATCAGATATTGAGTTGTCTCACATTGACTGGGGGAGGAGTTTCTTTAACATCATGTGATATGATTGCTGACTTCACTGGGATATGGGGCTTACTCTTTTTGGGCACACTCTAAGCATCGGAGAGTGATCAGACTAATGAGGGTAGTGCAGCCATGACAAATCAATCCTTACTATAGCAATAAATAGTCTGCTTAGAAGTAAATTTACATGTCAGTTACATTGCAAAACTCTGTAGCCTTGAATTAAAATGAAGAAATATAGAAACGGCAGATATTTAATGTAAACAGTTGATAAACATTAAAGGCGCCAAATACACAGCCATGGCAGAGCTACATTTGTAACCCTAAATTTAGTTTTACGCAAGCTTTGAATTTTAAAGCCTTGTCTTGTTTTCAAAACATTTCAATATGAGTAACTCACTAGGGTGTGAGGAGTATGTAGAAAATGAATTATAAATGTGTAAAACTGATGACAGTACAAGTCCTGGTAGAGATAACCTTATGCTTGAATCTAGATCAGTTTGTACCTACTATTTTATGATAGCCTTCAAGACAATACTTCTGCTTGCAATTACATTTCAATCCAACCTGTTGGTACCGAGTGAGAAAGTAGCATTAAAAGCTGAAATAAGTGAATGACTTGCCAGGCATGAGTTAGTCTGAATTTTGTACACTCTAAAACTTTTCAAGTATCAAACAATATCCAAGAAATGTACATCAAAAGTATATCTGCTTTGTTTCTGATGTTGTCATCTCTACTGGGCAGTATGGGCACTTAAATCTGTTTTAAAATAAACATAAAAGTTAAACACCAGTAACAGGTAAATAAATATATATTTTAAATTTAAAAAATTATTTAGTAAAATGTATTAATTTAAACCGATTAAAAAGTCAAGTTTTCTATCATAGGGGCAGATGTTATAGAGACTGTAGACTTGGACAATTGACTGGATTTTGTGGCGGGACCAAGGAGTGAGGTAGCAACCATTGCTGGTGGACAAGAATGTTGATAAGACACAAGTAGAAGAAATAAACCTAGTCGCGTTTGTAATTGTACTCCACGACTCAATACTTAGTCTCAATTTGAAGACAACTATTCATGAATTATATTTATTGTTAAAATTCTGTAGTTACCTGTTGCTGTTTCCCACAACTAATTTATGCAAGGCATCTTTAGAAATAACATGACCACAGGTCAATCTCATTGGTGGATTCTGTTCTGTACTTTGTTGACGGAGAATAGGACAAGCAAAAATTGAGTGGAATCTGTAATCTTGCCCGAGATCAATTTCAACCTAGGTTTTTTTAAAGATATATTAAAATTAAACTGAAAATAATTAAAATTAAATTCTGTTACTGTCTCTACATTAGGTATAAATTCTACAACATGAAATAACATTATGCAAGTTAAGATTACTTTAATGAGTCTTAAGTTTAGAGGCAAGTAAATCAGTGTCTATGGGGTGCACTAGTCTTCAATGTATCATGTCTACCAATTATGGTTTGTCTTTACAAGAATTATTTTTCTGCACTTTGGCTTAAGCATTAAATTGTTTAAGTTTGAAATTTAACACTATGCCTGCTGCCAACCCCATCATATATTTACTAGCTTGACAGCCCTGCTACTGTAGTACTTGCCTAACTAGTTAGTAGCCTCAGACCACAGTTGATGGATGTTGGTTATACAACCCCATCAAATCCAAATATTGGATGTTGATTATACTTAAATTATACAACTCTACTACAGCTCTTGTTAGCATAATGGGAAAAAAAATTCTTGAGAAAATGTGAAGATGCCCCAAGCCTAGTGACATATTTCACAGTATTTAACGGAAACAAGATTAATTAATTTAATACCTTAATTTATAGGAAAAATATTTTGCTATTTTAATATATGTATTTGTATCTATAAAATAATAACATGTGTATTGCTATAACGAAAGATGACTTAAAATGTATTACTGGTAATTCCTCCTTGCTGCTCCAAACACCAGCAACCTGTCTTGACTGCATGACTTGGCGAATTGATAACAATGGTGGTAATGCTTTACAGCCAGCATTTATTCTGTTCAAGGAAATAAATACTTGTACACACTAACATACACACAACTATTAGTATTTCTTAATTTATATGTGTGTATATACATATATATATATACAATAAACATACCCAACACTGAGAGGACTTTCCACAGAAAGGCCGAGAAGTCCACAAGCATCTCGAGTGAATATGTCACAGATTTCTGCCCAGCTGGAGTCTTCAAACAGAAATGAATATGTAGAGTTGGCTATTCCTTTATTCAGGTACAGCAGAGATCCCATTAGAAGCTGCATGTCTGCAAGAAATAACGTTTTTTTCAGATAAGTTAACATTTTGTATAAGTTAAAGAAAACTACAAAAAACTATCATTTAATGTGAAAATATATTGTAATTGTATTGTGATAGATATTATCCAAAAATGTTAGAATTGACATGGTGTTTAAATCAAAAGTAAATAATCCAAACCTCTTGTGTGCATATCTGCGAATGGGGCCAGCTTTCGAGCATACTGTAAGACTTCCTTTTGCTTCATGGACCCAAACTTAATCAACTCAATAAATCTTAAACGATGAAGTTTGAATTCTAAAGGTGAGTTTCTCTTGGCAAGGTTTTCTCTGTTTTGTTCTGCCCATCTAATTGAAAATCATATTAACTAATGTCAATGTTTTAGTCATGTTGAGACTTCATATACAATGACACAATCATCCATCATTAGATGGTCATGCTCAACTCAAATCCTGTGTCAATAAATGTAAGAGTAGCCAAATTGACATCTGACCTTGACCTGACACTATCATTGATAGAGCTGCAGAATCAGATTTGCAAAACTATTTTATAACATTTTTAAGTTGGTGATAAAAATCTGTATTGCTAGCTCAGTGAAATAATCAGCACAGGGCCACTAGAATACACTATTTCAGGAAGGAGACAAATTGTTATTAAAAATAAAGGTTTTAGTCAAACATAAAAATTGCCCTGCAATATTTATTTACAATTTATGCTTTTATAAAGCCCCTTTCCAATTTACTTATTAGGTGGGGCACACTCTGCAAAAGGCTCACTCAAATGTGACTTGCCAGGCACTTGATTGAAACCCCCAGGGAAAGCAAAAGAGACGGTGTCCAAGACAGACATAGAAGTGGACTCTTCTTGATGAAATGAAGACAGCAGGGATGTCTAGGGAGGCTGCAAAATCAACAGCCTATGCTCTATGCTCCACGAGGAGTAAAGAGGATTAAGTCAACGCATCTTCAGAAGTGTACACATTGATTTTGGACATATAATTCAGTTTTGAGGCTGAAACTTCTCTATGGCAGGACTCAGTTCTGGCTTAGTGGTGTAGGACCATCACTATATAAATGGTGTCTACTTTGTTAGAACATCTCTATTTGTCAACACTGTCAGGAAATTAAGTTTTTTACAGATTTGCTAAACCAATATAAACTTACTCTAAAGCTGGCTCCAAATTATGTAGGCGTAAGGCTTCCAGTATTCTATGGAGCTCTAAAAACGGCTCTTTTCTTTCTTGTGACAGCTCCAAGTTTGCATCCTAAAACAGTAAAGTAAAAAGTATTGAAGTTAGATGATGGTTACAGCAAACTAGTATAAAGTGTAATTTTGTAACAAAATATATGCAGTGACAAGTGCCTTCAAGTGTACTGTACCTGATTTAAACATTCTGCTATATCTAGCATGCCCTGTCTGAGAAAATGTTCACATATAACTTCATTCAAGAGCCTTTGTCTCCACTCCCCATCAAAGGCACCATCTGTAACTACTGCAGAAAAATCTGAAGTGAAATTCTGAAAATAGAAAATACTTTTACTTTTAGACAACATACAATATTTAACTTGTTATTCTATGCAGATCACTAGTTGTATTTAGAGTACATTAGTTGACAGGCATTTTGAGAGAAATTATAAAGGTAGGGACAATAAATTCACTGTTGAAAAGGAGTAGCAGAAAAAAATTGTATTTATTTGTAGTAAATTTTTGTCAACAAACAATGAGAAATTTATTTAAAAAGCTACTTCAACAATACAAATGATTAGTGCAAAGAAAACATAGCCATGACAATACAATAAAGCATACTTTATCCTGGACAGAACTTCCAGAATTGTATATACTGCATAATTAAATCTTACCCTATCTATAGTTTTGCCAAGTTTTGAGACTGATCCATGAAGATCTTTGTGAAATGTGCTGACACTGTTGGTTACTATTCTTCCTCTGTTGGTAAAATCTAGAACTGCTGCTTTTATACCATCTGATGCTAATTCATCTTGGGGTCCTATGTTTAATATTAAATATGCAAAGATTCTAGAATAAAGTTACAGTTTCATATAAAGGACAATTCTCATATAGGTCATATTTATGCATAAAATGTAAAAAGTCATTTACCGGGGCCTGAAATAATGACCATTGTTCTTTTAACGTTTCATTATTACCACACAAAAAAAATTAGAACATTAGGGTTGGCTTGAATTTGAATTTCCCATTTATTTTAAAAACATCGATTTGTAAAACTACAAAGAAATATAATAACATATCTTAGGAAAATATGTAAATAGTTCAAAGTTACCTGGATTGATATACAACTTAAAAAACATATATATTATAAGTATACATGAAGTTATTTTGCCTATAGCCCAATCCCATTACAGGGTATGTCTGTCCCGCCCCTTTACCCTTTCCGGTTTGGGACATTGATTTTTAAATGGCCTAAGAAATGGAGAATTTCATTGGATGATCTGCACTTGAGAATTGACTATTCATACTAAATTGATCATAATTATTTTATTTTGCACTTGCGAGAAAGAAGAATTAGCAGTTAAAATAAATGTAGTTCTTGAAAAACTACTTCATTTTTACTCAGGACCACACACACAATTCATAACTAGCTTTCATATGCGAAGTTGTCATAAAACACCACATGAAAATTAGGTCATGTGTAACTGATTCCAGGTGTTTATGATGTTTTAATGGATGTATTATATTAATATATATTATTATATATTTAAAGGAAATCATTTCTTTTCTCCTTTTCAGTGCATTTTTACATAAAAGCTTATTATTAAAATGTTTTTTATGCATTTGTTTAGCCCTTTATTTATAAACTGTAATAGCATAATGGTTTTTAATAATAATCCGACTTTGATCTTCACAATAAGTAAAGTATCCTCAAATTCTGTTACGTATTTATTTGAACACCTGAAAGAAAATTATATAAGAAATATATCTATAAAAGCCTTGTCCTTCCACTGTGTGTATTGTTGACATTGTGCTTTAACAACTGCCTCTGTACTGTGTCGACTTTTTAGCTAGATCATATGCTGTGTGATGTAATGAGGGCAATAAATGTGGGCAGTAAAGGTGGCTGAACAATTGTTGCGCCAAGGTGAGGACAACAAATCTTATTAACTATGTCTTTTTCCCATTTCACATGGATTCAAAGTTTGTATTTTAAAAACATGATGAAAAGTAGGTAGATGGGACCATTCTACTTGCTTCTGTTCTATAACAGAATTAAAACCTAGGCATACAGACTTCAGACAAAAAGTTTTTTTAAGTGTGTTACCACACAAATACAACTTGCGCAAAGATATCTAAAATGTTTGCATTATATTTAATTAATTATATGTTGATTTGCACTTTCTGAAAAAGTAAAACAAATTCCATGCAAATAGTTGATCAAATAGGTCTACTCCGTTACTCTGTGATTTTAATGATTTTTTTCTCACCAGTCTTAAACCACACAGAATAAATGCAGTCATATTCTTATTGCCCACCATCACCACAGAAACATACGGTAAAACTCCATTTCAGCGTATTTTATTCTCCGTTGCTTGTTTACCTCCAGTTGAGCGTATTTTATTATAACAACCGAAACACACCAAAACATTAGGAAAACACGATTTATTTTTTGTATTGTATTTTTGTTTTCACAAATGAATAAAATGAATGTTTAAAAAACACGACTTATTTATTTGTATTGTATATTTGTTTTAACAAATGAATAAAAAACAACAAAGAGACTGACTGAAGCGCTTTGTTTTTTGGTTACAAAAATACTAGAGATGCACACTTTGTACAAAGTGTTCCAATTTCAACTAAACTGAATAAAAGTATTAAAAGGCACAATGATGCTGCCGAAAGTGGGCCGAGGGGGGGGGGGGGTGGAATTTGGTGAGGGATGGCTTGGAGTGTTAGAGAAAGTGTGACAACTGACGTTGTCATTTTAAAAAAAATAATGTTAGAGGTCGTCCATAAATGACATCACACTCGTAGGGGGAGGGGGGGGGGGGTAATTTTGTGATGGGTGTGTGATGAGGGGGGGGGATGGTTCAGATGGTGCTACGTCATTTTGGGGGGGGGGGGGGGGGTCTTGCTTTTTGTGACGACACGCTTTTTTTACGATTTTTACCCTCCCCCCCTCCCCTCCGTTACATGTCGTCACAAAAAGTCAGCCCCCCCCCCCCTAAAATGACGTCACACCTCAGCCTACAAAAACCCCCCCCCCCCCCCTCAAAATTTCTGTTGAATTTTTCTTAAAACATCGATAATTTTTCCAAAATCTTGTCAGAACTCTGTCAACATAGAGTATTTTGATCAATTCATATTACAATTTATTAAAACAGTTTTCTAAAACGCGAAATAACGGCTAAAACTTGTTTTTCTAACATTGCTTTTTTATAATGCAAAAAAAATGACGTCACACCATCTGAAACCCCACCCCCTCCCCCTCATCACACATCGTCACAAAATTGCTGACCCCCCTCTCCCTTACGAGTGTGACGTCATTTATGGACGACCCCACATCAATTTTTTTTTAAAGTCAGAAATTTACTCATACAAAAAAAGGAAGGATGGTAGATTTACTATGAATTTAAATAACATACAACTCTATAGTAAACATTTTTTTTCAGTTTTAGCAAAACTGTCAAATTAAAAAACACAGAGTTTGTACATTTATTGCATAAATACAAAAATATAAAACAGAATGATTAACAGTGTATCAGTTTCACCATGAGACAAATGCCTTTTTTTTTAAAAAATACAATACAAATAAACAAGTCGTGTTTTTTTTTTTAAATATTCATTTTTATTCATTTGCTAAAACAAAAATACAATACAAAAAATAAATCGTGTTTTCCTAATGTTTTGGTGTGTTTCGGTTGTTATAAGGCAGGAAACAGATTCAACCCTCAAGCATCTACTTTTAGGGTCGATTTTCGCCAATTTTCAAAGTAACAATTATTGACATATTATATATCAATTTTGTTGCTTAACAATCGAGGAATTCAAAAATATAAAAATTAATAGCACTAGACATTTACATCACGTTCAAAATGTAGATTAACCACACTCACTCAACTGAGATTTTTTTTTACATCTAAATGTAGTGATGTCTAAAAATCCACGAAATTCACAAAATTAACGATATAATTACACAGAAATGTCACTTAGGCATACATTTATTTGTAATTATGTCAAACTTTACAAAATATACCAGTTTATAGCTTATTTCTATAATTATTCTTGAGAAAAAAAACGACCGCCCTCCCCTTTAAAATTCTGGCTTTTAGAAACACTCTGAGGAAGAAAAAAATAACAGAGTTAAATATAGAAGGTCTATATAAAAAACATAATTAATAAAATATGTCTATATGCCAATTTTTAATATAGTTGCAGCATTTACATGGCTAATTATAATTGTTTAGTACTTAAAACATTAATTTAAAGTTACGACTCTCTGTGGCGTCTTTTAAGTGTAATGTCAGTGTAGGTGAACAGGGTGTTAGGGCCTGATACGATTTCATTAGAATTGGTAATGAACAGAATGTATAATTAGAACTGGCATATAAAAACAATGTTGATAATAGATGCAGTTGTTTTAATCATTAATGCTACTTATAATAGATCAAAATGACAAACATAATTAAAACCTAAGAATCTGGAAGCGCTGACCTCATTTTACTGACACGGTTGTCAAATAGTAAGTAGTAAGTAGATCTAAAAAATAGATCTAGATTTACGTAATTTTGAAAATACGCTAGATCTAGATCTAGATACAAAATCACTTTTAAAAACTGAAGTTAGTGATTAGATCTAGCTCTATAATGAAATTGAAATCAACAACTGATATGTAAGTATCTTTTGATTTAAAAAAAAATACGCTTAGTTCTAAGAAAAAAAAAATTCTATTGTGTACTCGATCCCTATCCCAAAACGTGCCAGCCATATCGCATGCGTAGTCAGCTACTCAGCTGCTTATCAAAACGATGAATTTTAAAATTATATAATAAAAGTAGGTCACCCTAAAAAAAGAGTAAAATGGCTCCCGTTTTCACGACAGCCGTCACTCGATTCATAATTTACAGAGTTATAAAGTTCTACTTTCTTTTGGCTATAGATTTAAAGAAATATTAATTTGTTATTTCTCATGCGTTCCAACAATTGTACCTAATTTTAATAAACATTGGATTAGTAAGGACTCGATTCTTTTTAGAATTAGCCCTCGACACTATACAGGACTATTGCGAAGAAACAGACTCGCGCGAATGTCGTGCGTAGGCTGGTTCAGTGGGCGAAGATTAGAACCCCATTCAGACGGAAAATTTTTACTTTGAAATAATTACATTATCAATTAATTTCGATTTAAAACAAATGGCTTAAAGTCAAAAGTAAACTAAAATTTAAAAACTTTGTTATTCGCAGTGTACTCAAGATTCTCGTGTTTTAAAGATAAGTCTAGTTTTACTACGTGTACGTGCATGGTGCGAATATCGATTTTCCCCGACAGAAAATCATAAACATTTTTTTTAAGTATCTACGGCAAAATAATACTTATATTTTACAGAATTAAATACATTTAACTAAACTGTTATTTAAATACATGCCTCGGAGGAAAAAAATACAATTTTACATCCGTAAAAAATTAACTGAAATCCCCGCTTTCAACGACGCCGATGTGTCGTAATTATGGCCATTCACTTTGTTCAAATTAAAGTAAAAAAACACATTCAAATATACTTTTTTTTACTTTCATAATTTACAGCAATCATTTCTAATGAAAAATCCATAAAAATAATAGTTATTTTTACAAAATATTATTTCTTACCTTATTAGTGCAGTACACGTACTTTTCCAAGTAGATCCATTCCGTCTAGATTTGCATACTTCGCATCCTTCGCCGCGGCACAAAATGTCATAAAAAACGTATTCCACAAAAATGTTGCTAACGAAGCTTGTAAAAACATAGCTCTATTTATTAGTATAAACAAAATCCCCGACCGATGTCTGGTTAGAAAGTTTATGAACGGCGAAGATCGAATATGCATTTTGCGGTACTAATCTGTTTCCTGCCATAATAAAATACGCTCAACTGGAGGTAAACAAGCAACGGAGAATAAAATACGCTGAAATGGAGTTTTACCGAAACATACTAATTATTCGACTTAATCTGCCGTGTTTCTACAGACTACAGTTAGATCTAGATCTAGATAAAAAAAAAATTGTTTGTTGTACTATCGACAACAGGTTATTTCAATTTCACACCAGTGTACCTGTCATCCTCTAGTTATTCTTTCAATAACAATACATTAAATTAAATGTTAACATACGTTGATGGAGTTCAGCGTTAAAATTTTTCAAAGACAACATAAATTCATCAAGTGTTTGTTGTCCGCGTTCATGAGCAGATGTGTATTTTTCAAATAATTTTTCTAGTTCCTTCTCAACAGCAAAACAAGCTTCCATTTTGTTTTCTAGCAGGATGTTTTGTTTATGAAAGACAAAGATTTTTAAGGGTTGCAGACCAAACCAGTTGGTTATTTAAAAACACTAGGGCCTATGGTTACTAAATTTTAAAATAAGTGCAGTGAAAACATACAACAATTTCCTCAAATTTTAAGAGAAAATCTTGTATTATTTTTTCCTATTTTTATTTTTTAATAATCGAATCCACCGTTTATTTATATATGTACTTCAGGTTACCCTAATAGTTATTTTTGTGCTTTAAAGTTTGACCTCGTAGCGCGGTCTTTCATTTTTTCCAACGTTTAAGTTTCAGCAAATTATGCTTAGTCTAGCTCTAATTATTTAAAGATCAACTTTCAATTTATCTATATATTTATTCAAAATATTTAGTAGATCTACAGCTTATTCAAAAAATTTAGTACAGCTTGTTGTATATTTAAGATTTTAATCTGAACAACTGCTCTATTTTTTTTATAATGGGGTGGGGGGGGGGGGGCGAATAATAAATCGTCATCATGAACTTTGACTTTTGTGACCTTTGCCTTAGCATTTGTTTGTGGTTTTCACAGGGACTGCCATAGAAAGAGATCTACTAGATCTAATCTAGATCTAGATTCTAGATCTATATCTAGAATTTAATTCCATACTAAATACTAGATCTACATTACATCTCGTTATCAGTTCAGCGATTCAGCCACTTCATAATATTTTTAGTCCATTTTGGACCCACTTCCACACACTACTCTACCGAGTTTAATATATAAAAATGACTGATACAAACTTAACTGCAGTTTTATATGCAAAAGATGACATGCGCCTGGTGAGTTTTGTGTTGTACAAGTTTGCAAGTTAATGAGTAAATCTAGATCTATGTCTTAATTTTAAATGTACTTGTACTGTTCAGCTGTTTGTCAGTGTTGTGTTAAAGTTGCTAGATCTAGAATAGGCATAGGCCTATACGCTAGCGGCTATTACTTTTACTTAAAGTTCGAGATCTAACTAATTTCAATACGAGATCTAATTTACTAAATCAATA